TTCATTCTGTAAATGAAACATACATTTACAAAGCTATCTCCACTGGAAGCCCTGTTTTCATTGAGGCCGCTCTCTATCGCAGTCAATGTAAGAATAATGAGTCGCCCCATTCAGTGTTAAACAAGGCAAACCTTCTTATCTGCTCAGCCTTTCTATGGGTATTAACCTCGCATTAACGCGTGTATTGTGGGAAAATAGACTTGTAGTGTGAATAAATGCGAGAGACGTGCGAGAAAAATGTGTCTGATACGCTTGTGCAGATGATGTGTGAAGTAGAATAATTTAACCAGACTTTAAAAAGGATTTACACAATCATGTTCAACAATTGAGCCACTATTCAGAATCCTTTTGTGTTGAGTTATCTGGCTTAACTAACCCTAACAAACAAACCTCGGTAAGTCAACCAAGTCCGGCTACGAGCGCATTGAAAGGGGCGCTATAGCGACAGCAGGAAACAAACAAAGTCGCTGAGAGGCTGAGGGCCTGTTTGATATTGTGTGACACGCTACAAAAAAGTACTTGCTGAGATCAAAAACTCTGTTGCAAAATAATGTGGTTTAATGAAAACTGGGATGATCAACTTATTCTCCTTGGACATTGTTATATTAATCAAAGCAATCATTTCAATTTGCAGTCAACAAAAAGTCACCCTCTCTTCACACACACCTCACGCAGGTGAACAGGATTATAATGAGTGCCGCCCATATCCATGTGACCCAAGCCAACCAATCAATAGTGCTTAAACAAATATCTTATATTAAAACAAAACTCAATACTATACATGTTTCATGGCTCCTACAGGCGGGGCTAGCAACATTTGACCAATCACAAACATGGACAAGAGTACTGACAGCGGAGCGTGATTCAAAGTAAACTATAACATCAGATAAACATGAAGTTATACGTCCATTACCTCAACACATAATCCAGGATCAAAGCAATTTAGTTAAAGCTGCAAAGGTCAGGAAGAACAGCAAAAACAGAACTAAGACTGTGAATCTGTCATTAAAAGATTTGGGTTAGAGCCTAATAACCTAATAATCATGTAACGCACGAGTGGATCTGACTTTAATTACATTTGAGTTCTTCACCAACTCAATGTGTTGTTTAATTGGGTTTTTCATGGAATAGACAATATTAATCATCCCCACAAATGAATAGCTTATAAAAACTTGATTTAACGAAGTAATGAGTTTTATTTTAATAACTTTTTGGCCATTTTTAATATGTTTTGCATCCTGCTCATCATTGGTGGAATCATTTCATGTCTTTGCAGAATTAAAAGCATTTCACCTTTCATCTCCTGCAGAGCATGCATTTAGCAGACAGTGTTTTCTGACCTTGGACTAAGAGTCAACGAAGCAAAACACACTCACCTTATTATAAAAGGCTGACAGTATATATTTCTGTTGCATGGTCACTGTTTAATCTAAAGCCAAGTGTGCTGGTGATAGACACATTCTGCTTTCCAGTGTAGAGTTGGTATTCTGAGCAAATGATTCCAAGTGAGGGAGGTTAGAGATAAGGGCTTGAGAGCTGGTGTGTGTGTGTGTGTGTGTGTGTGTGTGTGTGTGTGTGTGTGTGTGTGTGTGTGTGTGTGTGTGTGTGTGTGTGTGTGTGTGTGTGTGTGTGTGTGTGTGTGTGTGTGTGTGTGTGTGTGTGTGTGTGTGTGTGTGTGTGTGTGTGTGTGAGACAGAGGATGGCACACACACACACAGACTTTCTGTTTTGCAGTCTGATGGGAAAATATGCTTCAGTTTTAATCAGCACTCATTACTGCGACTCAAAGCTTCAATCTGCACAGAGCTACTGTAGCACAATGCATCAGTGTGGACAATGACTGCAGTCCACTATGAGCTGGGAGTTATATAATGCACAGCTACAATAGACAATCTATCAATCTATTCAATGGTCGCAACACTACTCATGGAAATCAAATTCAGTCCACAGAGAGTACAAATATGTCCACTTTCTGGTTGAAACTGCCATTATGGATCCTGAAAATATCAGAAATGGACTCAATACATGTGATGTTTTTTTTAAGGAGCTTTTTCAACAACAAGGTGGAGGAGAGTCCTAACTTTAGTCTAAGTTGTCTCAGTGGGACTCAAACAGTTTGGTCACAATTAGTGTAAACAATTATTTCCGAGGCACACCTTCATATGATCATTATAGGTATACAAAAATAAGAGAATAAATTAAAAACAGGTATACTATATGACAGTATAACAAGAATAAAACTTAAAAGGGGAGTGATTTGTAAAATATCCATAAAGAAAAAGTAAATCTGTTTACAATTCTGTTTCATATGGGTGCTGAGAGATGAATCCATCTCTTAATGTTGCTCTCAAAGTGCACCAGACTGATGAATTTAACTTCAATATTTTTTTTAATCTTCCTGGGGGAGCTTGCCCCCGGACCCCCCTGGAGGATGTTAGGTCCACATAAAAAAAAATATACCTATAAAAATAGCACTTGACCCCTGCTTACACCTATATGCCGTGAGCTGATTATCGAGCCTTCATTGTAACAGTCGCGGGTACAGTGTGTGGGAGTGTAGCAGTAGAACATTCCATTGTAGCGCCCGGTACATTAATGGGAAACCCTACATGTTTGAGCCCCCTCTATGAAACGTCAAGCTACCCCACAGCACCCCCAAAAGAAATCTCTGGCGCCGCCACTGAGCCTGCAACCCCGTTTTGAAGAAATGTGCAGTGCCAAACCGGCTCATTGCAGCCACTCATGTGAGAAGACACACGTTTTGGCCAAATATCAGCATTTTCTTTTTTTGCACAGATTGCAAAGTGGCAAAGTATTATAACTTATTGTTCTAGCAAAGGGCACAATGAGCACACAGACTTATGGAGCATTGTTTTATTATCACTGTTCTAGCAAAGGAATGCTCACGTTCATATTGATGTATTTTAATAAATGTTAACTTGGCCCATTACGTGACTATTTGTGTCACTATTTGGGGGGGGGGCCCCGACTTTTATTTTTTTTGACAGAAAAAGTTTGAGAACCACTGCTCTACAGGAACAATCCAGAATCTTCCATGAGTCAGCTCTTCCTGCAGATGTCTCACATTAAACACGCCAGGAGAGGCACAGATTACAGCCTTTGATTCTTTAAGACGTTTAATGTGAAACATCTGTGATTCAGCAGGAGTGCGGAAGAACGGCAGACACTTTCATTCAACTTGGTGGTAGCAAATGCAAATAAAGAACACATTAAAAGAACCAATAAGGTGGACTTTCCCATTATGGAATGAGGCATTTGCACTGCATTCATGAGATGTCAAAATGAGCAAAAGAAACGACTTCCCAATCAGGAAATTAGACCTTTGGAAGAACGTGTGAATGAACCTGTGTTCATCAATTCATTGAACAACACACCCAGCTGGGGGCTACGTAACACTCCAGCAGAGGAATACTTTACATAATGCACAGACACTGGGAGGAACAGAGAATATAAATGGATGTGACACGTTGGAATTTAAATATAGACCTTCAAACATAAACCTGTTTCCCAAATAAAGACCTGGTTGTCTCTCACTAGCTGGTATTTACAGGACTGCACTCAAATGTGTGTGTCGGTAATATTCACTGCAGTAATGGTTTTAGACAATCAGGTTTTTATTGAGCTGCCTCTCTCTAATCACCGTTTGGTTGCTGCTCTCCACTCTGTTAGAGGGCCAGTATGTCAGCATAAAAAGCCAAGTTAATAATATGTAATTCTCCTAAAACTGCTCCCATCTGCCACACACACACACACACACACACACACACACACACACACACACACACACACACACACACACACACACACACACACACACACACACACACACACACACACACACACACACACACACACACACACACACACACACACACACACACACACACACACACACCACACACCACACACACACACACACACACACACACACACACACACACACACACACACACACACACACACACACACACACACACACACACACACACACACACACACACACACACACACACACACACACACACACACACACACACACACACACACACACACACACACAGGGGATGTGCCAACACAACAAAGCTACTTAAAGCTGCAGGAAGCGAAAGCATGCGTTTTTAATATTTGTATTCAAACCCTAAAAATATGCTACAATAGCTTGACTTCTTTCCTCTCACACACACCAGCTAAAGTGTGTAAAGAAGAGCTTGCACTATTTTAAAGTTGAGGATTGGGGGAAATGCAGAAAATGGGATAAAAAGACTAATAAACCCAGCAGGCAGATAATCAGCTCTGAACAAAAGGCTTAGAGAAGAAGACAGAGCAGAGAACAGATTTCACAGAACAGACGTTCATTCGCCAGCACAGGAAACACACTATATAATAATACAACTTGAGAGCTAATAACAAAACGTATGTCAGAGGTGGAAAGTAACTGAAGTACACACTTGAGGTACTATTTACCTGAGTATTTTCATTTATACAACTTCAAATGTTGTGATTTTTACTCCACTACTATTATTTTACAGATGTATTCACTATCAAATTCAGATTTTGACACACAATACTTGTATAATAGGATTATTTTGTATAGATTAAACCATCTAACATTATGTATAAATACCTTAAACCATGAGAGGGTTAACAGAAAAAAAATTGTCAGAAGTTTTTTGTTCAAATATATAAAACAGTTCCAGCTTCTTAAATGTGAAGATTTGCTGCTTTTGCTTTGAAATATTTGAATATATGTTTCTGCAGAAGTACTTTCACTCCTAGTTATAATTCATAAAATGCAGTACTTTTACTTGAAATTGACAAACTTTACAGTGTGTTAGTACTTATACTCAAGTAAATAATCTGAATACTTCTTCTACCAAGTATTATCATGCTTTTAAAGTAGAGAACACTAGAGGAACTGTCCTTTGCTAAATGTTAGTATCACAGCTGAGAAAGTGATGGAGGAGCTGAGACTCACTTACGTGTCTACCAGGCGGCTGCAGGAACACTGTGGAGTTTAGTCGCTCTCTCAGCACCCCCCCCCCACCACCACCCCCCCCCTGCTTTGTCTCCCTAAACCAGTTCATTCTGGTTGCATTGGCCCCATTCTCACACACACACACACACACACACACACACACACACACACACACACACACACACACACACACACACACACACACACACACACACACACACACACACACACACACACACACACACACACACACACACACACACACACACACACACACACACACACCTTTGGGAGATTATGTAATCAGGATACAAAAAGGTAACTGTATTCTATTACAATTACATTATAAAAAGAAGTAATCAGATTACTGTTACATTTTATTGTGGATTTTTCTTGGATAAAGAAAAAAAAAAGGATTTTCTTTATGGTTTATATTTCATTCTTCTTTATTTTAAATACAAAAATACAGTCTATGCTTTTGATTTGTGAATTTAGCTTAAACAGCATTTGGAAACTATGACTGTTACTACATATTAAGGTTACATAGTTACATACACTTGACTTAAGTAAAACACATATTTTTGTTATTAATTTTCTCTTGTTTTAATTTGAACTGCATTTGATATTGAGGTAATCCAAAGAAAGTAATCAGGTTACTTGTATATCTTCCTAGTCAGATTAGGTTACTGAATACACTTTTTGACATGTATAGTTTCTGTAACGGATTACATTTCTAAAGTTACCCTCCTGGTTGTCACGAGCAAATCAAATGTTTTCTGATTGTACAGATCCCCATCAGCGGCTGACAGAGCCCCCAGCCCCTGCGAGGATAATCTTTCTTTAGCTTTTGTTGTTTCTTTGATCCTCGTGTATCTTATCTTATCAGACACCACTGAATCAATTCATGTCTTTCTTACATCTTAAACCCATGATGTGGAATTGATCTTCATCAGGGGAGAACAAGACATCAAAAAATAGAAGAGAAATATATTTTTACGCCGTAATGTTTCACAGAAGCTTTGATGGAGTCAGAGAGTGAAAATAAAACAGTCTGAAAGTGCTTAGTGACATCACTGAAAGCCATCAGAAGAGGAAAAGGTGATTCCTGAAATAACCCTGGCTACAGTAGGAGAGAGAGGAGAAGTAGGTCAAGAACTCGTTGTATTAAGACGCTCCGTGGGATAATGTTTGATTAAGCTTTGTGGAGGAGCGTAAGAGCAGTTGGCAGCATGTCATCGTCCTGATCAAAGACCCCATAACAACGTCGGAACTCAGGCTTTCATTATTCATGAGGAATTAGCCTGCACTTGTCAATGGGAAAATGAATAGAGATTTCACAGGGATTCATGCAGCAGCACACGTCCGGATGCTTTTCTCTGAGACTCACTCAGGGCAAGTAACGATGTTTATTCCATCGCAGAGCATTATTAGACTCAAACACCAAACATGAGCACAAAGAGCATATTCTAACTCTTCTCTTACATATGCTTATCGTTACCGGTGGAATGTAACTAAGTACATTTACTCAAACAGCAATATAAGTATTATTTTTGACAAACCTGTACTTTACTCTACTTCCATTGTATGCTACGTTATACTTCTACTCTGCTACAATTCAGAGCTTAAATTCTACTTTTTACTCCATAACACTTGTTAACTATAAGATTAAAATGCTTGTACAAGTGAAACATTTTTATATTTATATAATATTCTTTATAAATACTTTGAAAGAGCTTCTGCATACTTTTAGTTGTGATACTTTAACTACATTTGGCTCCTGTAATTAATGTAAATGATATTGATAATTGTGCCGACAATACAGGGACAGAACAAAAATATTCCTCCTTAATATATAACACCACCTATTTTTTTTTAGATATACATATATATTCTAATTGAGTGTGTATTTGAGTGTGTGTCATGCATGTCGCTTTATTAAAAGTGAATTAGTTATGAATCGCGCTCACAGATGAATAAAACATCAGTATGGCATACTTTTAGGTATAATCCGTGATGAAAAAGACACGTGTGGTTAAAATATCATATTGTCAATATTTTAGAGACCACCAAAGGATTTTACCAATGTGTTATAGAGTGGATCCAGCCCCCCCGTCTCTCCTGCAGTCAGCATCCTGGGTATTATAATACACGTGTGGTCTTTATAGAGAGTGCTCCCGAAGATCTTAAACTATGGGCTGTTTAGGGTTGCTTTTCCTAACACTGATGAGGCGAGAAAGTGAGTCGCTCTGGTAGAACAGTAAAAAAAGACTTTCCCAACCTCTGTTACGTTAAGGGAAAAACATCACGTGGTAAAGGAAAGATGTGAAGGAGAATCAGAGTCTGACTGCATTCACACTGGGCGACGTAACCATGATGCTAGGCGGATGTTTAGAAGCGGTGGGGACAGTATAGTTTATCAACATAATCTATCTGCGTCTTCCAAATGATGGTGTTGCATAAATGTGGACAACGATGACAAATTCATACTAAAATTGGAATTGAGAAAAAAGTTAAGTGAAAGGAAATGGGGTTGCTAACACTCACCTGCACCTTCCAGTAGACTCATGATGACATCAGGGGCCTCATTTATAAACGGTGCGTACGCTCAAAAGATGACGTACGCCAGTTTCTACGCACTGTTTGCGATTTATAAAAAACTTGAAGGGAAAATGTGCGGTCCTCCACGCAAACTCTGACCCACGCACTAAGGACAAACACGGGAGAGACGAGAAACTGCGACACCGTTGGCAGAAGGAGGAATGGAGAGAAATATGTGGAAATAATACCATAAATAAAATGTTACCTCTCATTTATCATAATGAAGAATTACTTTGCAAACATTGATTAAAGCCAATCTTAAAATGATTAAAGCCAATCTTAAAATGATTAAACAAACGCCTGTTTGAGACTCCTCAGTGCACACAAAAACATAACTTGGAGGAATAAATATATACGGATATGTTATTGAAAACCACCTCGAATATGTTGTCTTCTTAATGTTATGACATGTATTCTCATAAATGATGCGGTAAACAGAAGGACAGAATTACGTGTACCGTTACTGAGGCCGTTTTGTATTTCTATACTGTAGGTTGTAGCCTATAGATACGAGCATGGTTTTATACTATCATGTTTAATCATGTTTTATGCCGTTTGCTAAGACTTGATAAGTCGCTCATAAAACACAGGAGGTATGGAAACTAAGAACACCATATATTTGGTAGATTTGGCAGCTGATATAACTCAACACAATAGATTTATTGTTATTTAAGTGGTGGATATAGAGTTGCTGCGGGGGGGGGGGGGGGGGTTGGCACAGGCTGCAGTGGAGACGCTGGGGGGGGGTCTCCTGTCCCCGGCACAAACACACTGACACACTGCCTGAGGAAAGCATGTGTATTTTGTCATTAACTTTTTTCGGACCACTTATTTATTTATTTTGGTGACGATCCGACCTCCATGCTGCTGCTCTGGTTCAAACTGCATCTACCAAACAATGTGATTTGTCTCCACCTCCCCAAAAGAACCAACATCTGACACGGTGTGAAATGTCTTTTTTAGCTGTTCTGTCCTCATTTCCTGCGATCTTCTTCATGCAGTCAGTCAAAATGAATATTAATACGGTGCGTTTCTTTGACTATTTCGAGGCAAATATGGGCGTTACGGGAAGTCCGCAAAAGCTGCTCCGCATTTCGAGTCGATTGTGATTTATAAAGGGAAACCGGCGTAGGACGTGCCGCAGGACGTACGCACTGTTTTATGAATCGGAAAATGTCTGTGCGTATTTATTTGCTTTGTCTTACGTAAGCAACCTTCCCACGTCAATCCTACGCAAGACTTTATAAATGAGGCCCCAGGACTCAATCTGTCTCCCCAGGCTCCTGTTGTGAACCAGGAAATGTTGAGTAACCCAAAGTATTGTGTTAGAAATTGTACAGTACATGTCAGCACATAACACCTTTCAAGCTGATCAAGGTCCCCCGGTAGTTATTTTCCTCATAATGACCGCCTCGCTGCACAATGTCCCTTACATAGCATATGTATATCAGGTAAGAGAAAGTCATAGAAATTTAAAAATAAAAAAGGTTAATTGTAAACTATTTGACAAAATATGCTGTGGGAAACATTTTTAAAACTCATAAAAGCATCACAACTGACAGTTAAGGTACATAAATACACAAGTCCTTCTCAAATAAACTGCCTTCTTTTATTATCTTCATATTCATCTCAAAAACAAATTAGAAAATTATATTTTTTAACAATTACACCAATGTGTTTAACAAAAACTGCCATAAACATGAGAGATCAACTGGATTGGCCACAGTTGTTAATAACATAAAAGCAATGCTAGCAGTACAAGCAAGAGCCAATGCTAAACTAATCTGAAGACACATGTCAATGCTAAAACTCACAGGCCGAACAAAACAGCTCAACTAGTACAGGAGAGGATTAGGGCCAGGGGCAGAAATGTTGGGATGTGGGATTCTGAAATGAAAGTTAAAAAAAAAGGCTTTTTTCCCCTCAGAATCCTGAGATTAAGGTCATACCTCAAAAACATGTTTTACTTTTGGTCAGGTGTGGCCCCTAATCCTCTTCCGTAAACTAGATATTTTTGTTTGCTTTTTATTCCAGAGTTTATTCTATTAAGTGATCACAAAATCTTTAACAACCTCATTACACACAAAGTTAGGACGTTCAAAAATCCCACGATCCTGACAGTGTTGAACTCATCACTATTTCAAATGTCAATGATCTTTATGTAAACAAGCGTTGAAGTTTGGCACGTGGAATAATCAAAATGATCTGATTCTAATACAACGATCTTAATATACATTAACAATATATGTTTTCCTTTTAATCATACACACACTTGATGTCATTTGACATTCTCAGATATCAAATTCTTCAGCACAGGCACCAAAAAAACATGACATTGATTATTATAAATAATAGTTATCTCTATTAGAAGTTGAGATAAGTCAACATCATATATGTACAATATCTTAAAAAGGTCATGCGGGTAAGGTAAGCAGGTTCACAACATAAGGAATAATCACACAGCCATCAGCCATGATGGAGCTCAGCGTCAGGGTGTGAGTGAATCATGAAACCTGATGTTCATGAAGCATTCTGATTGGCTCTGAGCTGAACGCCATCATGCACACATCTTTGGTCCACGGCAAGGTATTTCAAAAGCCAGTGATCGGATTTCTATGAAGTGTTTTGACCCCTTGACCTTTGTCTTTGGCCCTTTAACCACCGGGACAACACTCAATTAACATGTTCAATTAACTTTCGTCTGGCGCCACATTCCCTACACCCGGGATATTTCAGAATCTCACCTTCCTTTTGGTCAGGAATGTGATGCAGCCTCCATGGTTGTGTGGAATAAATGGCATTTCCTGAGTGTTGTTCCACCATGACATCACCTCATCCACTCCTCAGAACTCCACACTATGACTCACATATGGCAGATGATCACTTCTGGTTTCAGGAAGGAGTCTTTTGAATGTGTTTGATATGAAAGAACTTTAAAGAACGAGTCTTTCAAATTGAATCACTGAGTCAGGAAAATTGTCTCTTTTTTTCTCGACTTCACAAACACTTTTGATTACTGAGCGCCTCAAAATGAAAAGGAATGACTTCATTTACATCTCCTCTGGTTACCTGCATCACCCCGCTGCGATCGCGTTTGGCACAGCTTCCCTCGCAGTCTGCCGACGAGTCATTTCCTGGAAAGCAGAATGGTATCCCGCCATCAGCGAGCGGCTGTCAGTCTCATGAGGAAGTGTCTTCATCCTGCTCATAAAGGGTCCGTCAGACGGCCGTCTCCTGGTCCTCTCTCTGGATCATCTGGTAGTGCTGTCTGTTCTCCAGGTAGGCGGCCAGTTCAGAGTCCTGAGCTTTCTCAGCCCGGTTCTTCGGAGTCTCACCCTGACAGAGACAGAATACACATTATTTGTCTCAGTGCTACTTCCTTCTGTTCTTAACTCCATCAGCAGACACACATTTACAGTCTAAGCTCACTCAACAGAGAGAGGCTAGCTTGTCATCAAATGCATCTTCAACTTCTATTATTAAACACTGACAAAACCATAGTTATTATACAGCACTTGGCCACCAACACATTCTGAATGAAGTATCAAATGACTTAATGACTCTTGATGGCCTCGAGATCTGCAGTAAAACATATTGGCATTATCTTTGACTAACTCAGAAAAACTCACTGGCCACGCCCCTCTGAGAAGTGATTGGATAAAAAAACACAATGGTGCTCTAGGAGGAGATTCAGGTGATAAGGTGGGGGGGGGGGGTTACCTTGGTTGGTTATTGGCTAATCGTTGCACAACCCATAAAACATTGTGACATCACAAAGTGGCCAAAATCTGATTTTCAGACAGGTTTTTATAGAAATGGATCAAGAGAGAGGGTCTTTGTTCCTGAAACTTTCAGAATCTCTTTACACAGAGGGGACACAGGACAAAGTGGATTTTGTGTAATAGGTGCCCTTTAAAGCTAATGAACAAAGTCGTAGCTGAAAAATCTGAGCCCAGCAGGAAACACCCCCACAACACATGCTATGCTGCACCCGAGCAAGCCTTTCTCCACCGCAACAGTTGGAGTGGTGTGTGTGTCTTAACACAGTCAGACCTGCTCCGACTGTGGACTGATGAACAACATGCTGGTGGCTAACACGTTAGCTGCAGTGTGAGCTGGGATGAACACTGAGTCTCGTTAACAACAAAACAGGCTTTTGTTCCAGACTTATTCCCACGATCCTCCGCTCCCCTCTGTGCCGGAGAGATGGTGCCGTTTCATTAGGCTGCGTGTCTGAAACGTGTGTGATAGAGAGTTTACACACCAGCTGGCTTTTTAATGTCACATTTCTCCATCAATGGAAAAGTGCTGCTGTTAACATAGCATTGTCTCCAACTAATAAACACGAGACAATGAGAAAGACTGAATTACAAAAGCTATAAACAATGTGTCCTTGAGAGAGGACACCCACACACAATCACACTCAGTAAGTGCTGAATCTCATCACAGAGTTTAGAAACACTCTAGTGTGTGTGTGTGTGTGTGTGTGTGTGTGTGTGTGTGTGTGTGTGTGTGTGTGTGTGTGTGTGTGTGTGTGTGTGTGTGTGTGTGTGTGTGTGTGTGTGTGTGTGTGTGTGTGTGTGTGTGTGTGTGTGTGTGTGTGTGTGTGTGTGTGTGTGTGTGTGTGTGTGTGTGTGTGTGTGTGTGTGTGTGTGTGTGTGTGTGTGTGTGAATATATCTTTGGGGTTCTACCAAATTTGGAAACATTACCAGGGACATAGACGTAGAGATGGAACAGATTTGTTAACGGACATGTCGATAGTCGTCTCGTCTAAAGTCATTTCTGTCTCCCTCTCTCTTACTCTCTGTCTCTGTCTCACACTCTCTGCACCCCCCACCCCCCTTTTCTGTGTATCTAGGTCATTGCTGAGTCCAGTCAGTTAGGAACTTTTCTACACTGTTGAAACATCCTGCAAAAACTGCACCAAAATGAAAGATGATGCATGTTTGAGTCCGGTGATTCCTGACCATCACACCTGTATGAGCTTGTTGGACATCCCATAATAGAGCAATGGCCATTAAATGGAGGTCTTATTGTGGCTCTGAAAGCTGCTACCCTTCTGGGAAGGCGTGTGTCTGTCAGAGTGGGTTCCATTAGTCCTGAGGAGCATCTAAGGGAGGATACTGACATTGGACCAGAAGCCCTGGTTCCAATCTGCGTCCTCACTCCCAAAGGGGTTCAGTAGGGACCAGTGCAGGGTTCTGTAGACCACTCAAGCTCCTCCACAAAGGGCCTACCCCAAGCATTTGTCAAAAAATGTGAAGTGTCCGTCTGGCTTACATGTCTTTGTCTCCTGTAGCATGAAGAAGACCCTTCCCCAGGACTTATAGGCTTAAAGCAAAACCCCAAAACAGCCCCAGTGGCTCAGTCTGTAGGGACTTGGCTTGAGAAATGGAGGGTCGCCAGTTAAAGTCCCAGGACAGAGCATGTTGGGAGAGTGGACTGGTGCTTTGAGAGCCAAAGCCTACAGGTGCTGTAACATTCTCCTGGCATATGAAAAACCCAGATACTAATAACATAATGAAGCATTGTTCAACTCTCCGAAGCATTTGTTTCTACTGCTCCAGATTTTAGTATGCACAAACACGTAATGGGTTAGAATCAAGCGGTTCAAAACAACATGGTAGCACATATGAAGAGAGAGCTCTGTACTGCAGATTGACTATGTATTTAAAAACAGTTGAAAGTCTGATGTGCATTGAGTGCAGCTGGTAAATGGCGTACTTTCCACACAGAGGAGCACAGAACCTACCTGCAGGTCTGTCTTCATCAGCGAGGCTCCTGCTTCCACCAGGTAATGGCAGATGGTCCTGTGGCACAGAGAGGCAGCACGATGCAGAACCGTCTCCCCACTGGTGGTTCAGAGAGGGGGAGAGCGAGCATGAGAGAACAGCAGCATCTTCTGAGAGTCAAGCCTCCTTGATGATCAGTACCCAGAGCACTGTGTTTGGTTTGTATGTTTATTTATTCTCTTTAAGGTCCACTTGTTGGGATGCCCTGCACATATAGACAGCCAGTGGAACATCTTCAAAGCTACAGCTACAGTACAAGCTTCACAACATTTTCTCAGCAAAAATAATAATTGTGATCACATTTCAAACTCTTTATCATTGGTTTAAAGGCGATAAAGGTTTCCATGACTGTACTCACTGCTGATTTTCTGTGACATCGAGCAGATCACTGGGAGCTGGAAGAGACAGATGCAAGGAGATTAGACCACAGCATCACCACTGACAATCTGTTATACACATCATAATGTTTAAACCACTTTATTTAATGCATTTTGTATCTAACAGTGGCATAACACTAATACTCAGTGAAATGGTGGTGAGCAATCAAAGGAAAATTAATTGAATACTATTTTCTACATAACACCCATGTTTCACTTTTATTAAACCCATATTGCATTGTTATGAGACCCATATAACACCAATATTGCACCCATATTACACTATTATCACCCCACTAATATACCCAAATTACAGTTATTACACCCACATTTATACACCCCTATTAAACCCATGTTTCAATATTATTTCACTTTTTTTTAGACCCCTGTTAAACAAATATTGCACCCACATTTCACAAAAAGTCTTCTGTTATTACACCCATTTTAAAAATGGACACAGCCTGTCAAATGACTGTATCCCCCAGGATGCAGAAACCATTTTAAAGTGAACTAAAAACAATGAGACGCATAAGAAGTGGATACTTTAATGCTGTCAAAAGTGAGTAACCTGCCATGTTATTCATCATGACCTACGCTTGACTTTAAATGCAGAAAAACACATGTTCTCAAAGTAAAGCTGAATGCAACAGTTAGTGGATAAGAATAACTATGTTGTCAAATGTAATCCGATTACAACATAAAGTACATTATACCGCACCATTGTCCAGGATGTAGCGGACCATCTCCTTGCTTCCTGCAGAGACGGCGTGGTGCAGCAGACTGCAGCCTGACGCGTCAATCACCGTAAGCTCCGCCCCCTTCAGGTGCAGCTCCTGCAGCTGTGGGTGGAAGAGCAGCTGGATTAGCTTCAAAATGGAAAACAACGTGCAACATTCTGATACAGGGAGGAAGTATAAAAGTATCAATATAAAAGTCCTTCAATCAAAATGTTACTCAAGTAAAAATTGAAAAGTATTGGCATCAAAACATACTTAAAGTACTTATTATGAAGATTGGCCCATTCCAGAATAATGCAGTGGCAAGAAAAAGTATGTGAACCCTTCTCTGACACTATCCTGCAAGACATCATGATACAGTTGAGAATTCATTTTTCTTTTGACAATGGCAAACTGTCCAGGCCCCGAGTCGGCAAAGCAGCCCAAAATCATGATTTGACTGAACATCGCCTCTGGGATGATGTTATCATTTGATATGCAGTGCTTTATTTCTGCCATACGTACAGTAGTGCTGCGAGTTCTGCCCCTATACTTCAACATTAGTTTAATCACACTACTTAACAGTTTCCCAGCAGCAAAGTGCAAATCAACAATTCTTGATCGTAGGTCTATTGAGGACAGATTGTGTTCGTTCATTTTTGTTACTTAGGTGAAGACCATATTTTGGAACAAATGTATACATAAATGCAGGTTGTTCCAAAGGGTTCACTTGCTTTCCTTGCTACTGTATATATATGATATGTTTTGATTATAACTAGGGCCGGGACTCGATTAAAAAAATTAATCTAATTAATTAGAGGCTTTGTAATTAATTAATCGAAATTAATCGCATTTTTAATCACATATAAATATTTGACCTGAGAACAGTGAGAAGCAATTTTTTTTCACATGGATTTTAGTATACCATTAGGCACATTCACACCGCAGTACTTTTCCCACAAAGGTTCATGAGAACTTAGTTCATGAGAACTCTTTGAACCTGGGGGTGGATTAGGCAAATGAAGCCGCTGACGTCACTTCTTCTTCTTCTGCTTTGGGTTTACTGGCAGGCCGCAAACCACTTCACGGCGTATACTGCCGCCCAAAGTCCCCGGAGTTGGGGACTGGCTTCAGTAGAAGCTGCTGGGAGTCCCAGCAGCCTTCCGAGTAAATCGCCAGAACGCCGACACCTCCTCATCTCCACCGCTCCCATGTTTTATTTTGTGTTGCCATAAATTAGTCTCTCTGCGTTTCTGCGCTGGGCTAATGCTAATAATGCTAATGCGAGGATAATAAAATTCACAAAACTTTTTGGGAGTTTTACGGGGCGTGGTTTGCAATCCGCCCAGCCAATCAGAAATATAGCTCTTTTCTCACAAGAGAGCCGTACGAAAGTCCCTGCTCTCTAGCAGCTCTCTGCTCTCTAGCAGGGACTTTCGTGGGGGTAAAAAGGTTCTCATGAACTAATTTTAGTACCGGCTCTTTTTGGTGTGAACGCGATAAAAGAGGCTAACGTCCACGCTAGCTTCCACGCCAGCTGCTATATGTTTTGCATTGAGGTGATACTTGAGGCTTGATGTGCTGCGGTGATATGCGAATTCCTTTTTGCATAATTTGCACACAACCGTGCTCTTATCGACGCTTCCATCCGTCCTTTTTTTAAAACAACATATCCCACTGTTGTTCACTGTGGTTTGTTGTTGTCTGAAGTCATGAACGTTAGTTGGTGCTCCAGTATAATCGGTACGCATGAAACTCATCCAGTGAGAAAAGTTCCGCGGTGCAAAAATAAGTGCGATTAAAATGCGTTAATTTTTTTAACGCGTTAATTTTTGTGTAATTAATTAATCTTAATTAACGCGTTAAAGTCCCGGCCCTAATTATAACTATTGATCATGAAAGTGTTATCAAAGCGGGTAAAGGTGCAGCTGCTTTTAATGACTTTGTATACTGCAGGGTAGCTTGTGAATGTACTCTTATTTAGCCGATACCACCTTGTTCGGAAGTAGTATCATTTCAAGAAGCTACAGACATGGAGTTATATGTTAAGTGATAGCAAACACTGTTTTGAGAGAAACATTGTTTCATTCCAGTGGAGTTGCTCATAAACTCACCTTCTTCTCATCCTTGTTCTTCACACACTGGATCAACATCTCTGACAGAGAGACAGACAGAGACAAGATAGTCAATATAAACTCATGTAAATGAAAATGCTAAATACCCAACCAATCTGCAGGCAGAGGTGAATGGAGTAAATCATCTCTCTGGCAAAAAGCTCAGTCAGAATCCAGCACATGTGAATGAGCATCTGATGACAGTTGGTATGTTGTTTGGTCACAGCCAATAGAATCTAATCAGAGCTCACAGTCCGGATGCTGCAGATTAGCTGCAAGTCGTGCAACATGAATATGTGCTTCTTTAGATTATGTGGTGCAACATTATTATTATTTTTTACAAAAGTTTGATAAATAAATTGTAGCTTACGGGAAACGATGATGGTGTTATACAACAGTCTTGCATGAACCCTATCTCTAAAGCTCAGGTTCATATTGTGTTCATATTTCTATCAATCTCCACATTCTAATAAACACAGGTAAATATGTGGCCTTCGCATACAGTTCCAGCTAGTGAATTGGACAAAGGTAATACATGGTGATAATGGAAACTATGTGAAACACAGACTGCAGCCTTATGAGGTGAATGTTTATTAGGTTGACCTCAATACTCGCTCTCACTCCTCTCTCTAAATAGCTGAGTCCTAATCCAGTTATGTGAGGCTTAGAGGGGTGGGGGGTGGGGGAGAAAGAGAGAGAGAGAGAGACTTCAGAAATCTCTAATAGCGTTTGTGCCTGTAAGACAAACCAAAAACAACACACAAAGCACAAACAGCCAACACACACACACTGTTGGATGCAGGAATTAAAGTCATTTAGCCCAGGGAAGGAATTAAAATAAAGCAGAGAAAATGAGGGGTCGGTCTAAAGACACGAGGAAGGGAGATTTATGGAAGCAGAGAGGATATGCAAGACCTGCCCCCCCCCCCCTTTCTTTCTGTCTCTTCAAAGAGCCCCTACACACACACAGCTCCCATAAGGGTCAGACAGGTTGACTGCATCAAACTGAGGGTTCAATGGAGCAAGTGACACAAGTGTGTGCGTGTGTGTGTGTGTGTGTGTGTGTGTGTGTGTGTGTGTGTGTGTGTGTGTGTGTGTGTGTGTGTGTGTGTGTGTGTGTGTGTGTGTATGTGAATGTGAGAGAGAGAGAGAGAGAGAGAGAGAGAGAGAGAGAGAGAGAGAGAGAGAGAGAGAGAGAGAGAGAGAGAGAGAGAGAGAGAGAGAGAGAGAGGAACCATGTCTGCATTAGAATAAGAATATTCTAGAAGAGGTATGCACAAACTGGTATCAGACATGGCTTCAGCTGAAATCAAGTTTATCGAAAATCAACATTCACACGTGTAAGACATCTAAATCAAATAGGTACTGCTTCATATGAACAATCTTTTAAAACCTAAAAGAAAACATCTGTCAGTACATTCACACTGAAGGGCTTTCAGTGTAGAGGCTCATTCATCATAGCAGTACAATGTCTTTCAATAAACATGTGAGTACTGTGTAAGGAAATAACTGAACCTATATCAACTGAAATATTGTTTTTAGAACTGTTAAGAGATGTATGTTATATAATATTTTATGATTGAATGATTGAAAGTAAAAAAACGTATAACCTGTGGATTATTTGTGTCTCATACCCAGAGTTTATAACAAAGATACTGTATTAACATCATAGAAGGTGTGTGTGTCAAACACAGATGTTCTTTGTGCCTCCAGGGGCCACACCCTACTCATTTCGTCTAATATTTGAACTTTGTGAACAACTAATCCATGTGAAAACCTGGCAGGAGGAGAGCTAGTTAGCATTAGCTGTTGACTGTTAACCTCCTTCATTGTTAATCGTTCAGGAGGTTTCTACCAGGAGCCAAATTATTTCCAGAGGTCTCCTGCTCCTGATAACAAATGGACCAAGTTATTAAAACACTGAAAACACTGACAAAAGCAGTTTCACTTTATAAATACGTGTTGTTGTTCGTTGTACTGAAACTGATGAAACTTGAGCTTGTTTCACGGATATCTTGAGATGCAGATTTTGACCAGGTGTCAAATTATCTAGAAAGAGAGCTCAAAAAACAAAATGTCTGATGAGTAAAAGCTTTAAAAGATAATGAATAAATCCGTTTTATGTTAAAAATGTGTTTTTACAAAGCTGTCGGGCGTCATTTGTTTGTTTCCCTGATAAGGAAAGATCTAGATGTGTCATGACTCAAATCCTTCATCTTGTTAAAAGTCAAAATAGCTATAGTTGTTGACACAAGACAAGTTATATTGAATTCTCCCAAGATTTTGTACAAATGCACAGAGTTTGATATCCAGGTTTAAAGCCTTTTATATTCAAATGTGAAAACTTGTTGAAACTTACTCAAGATAGAATTATCTTTAAAGATGTCGTTGAATGCATGTGTATCTTAAGTAGCTGGGATTACTTGCTGGCTCAACATGTGTCTTTGAGAAATAACAGCCTTTCTGTATCAGTGGCTGCTGTTGCATCATGGGACAGATTCCAGACACTTCTTAATCACTGACTGCGAGAACTGGGTTGTGTTCAGCTTAAAAAACACCAAAACTGGAATCCAAAATAAACTGCTGGCAAACTCGGCGCCGAGAGAGAAACAAAAGTGAGGCGGATCACAGAGAGAGAGAAACCACGGAGACGCTGACAGACACACAGACAACTCCCAGCATGCAACGAGAGCGCCCAGAGACACAGGTGGAGGAAATATATGTGTCGGAGAACAAAAACTGACTGTCTGGAGACACAGGAGCTGTCCCACTTTTCTTTATCACACACACACAGCAGAGGTGGAAGAAGTATTCAGGTTCTTTGTTTGAGTACAAGTACCAATGCATTATTGTCAATATACTTCATTACAAATACATTTGAAATCCTACTTGCAAGTACACACATTTTGCGTGCGTGCGTGTGTGTGTTTATTACCTGTTTCTCGCTCCCTCTCAGCCTCACTTGTCTTCTGGATCTTCTCCTGTCTGGACAAAGAACAGCTGATCAACCACTTCCTGTTCATTGATACATTTGCAGTGCTCAAAAATCATGAACACAGGTGTCTTTTTGACACCTATGTGTTGTCAGTTTTCATACACTGGTCCTAAACAAACAAGATTTTTTTCAACTGCATCTTTTTCCGTCTGGATTAATAATTAAAGGAACTAATCTGGCGTAAATAAATACAGAAAAATCATGTTAAACACATGTTTTTCTAACTAAACAAAAGATGTGATCCATGCGTAGCCCCACACACACATATTGGACTTTTCAGGGTGCAGGCATCACTGCATGTACTTCCTTTGACGGTGGCACAGTGTTTTAATGAGTGGAGGACTGTTTTGCTTTAATGAGTACCGGTATGTTTTAATGAGCAGCGTCATGTGACAGAAACTCAACTCAAACTGACAAAATCACAGAGCTGTGAGAACGGGTTGGTGGTGAATGAAAAGTCCACACAGTCACACAGACAGTAAAGTAATGTCCTCTCTCTGTGTGTTAGCTTTACAGGTGAGGTTAGTGCTGAGACATTATTCCATGTCCTATGTTAAGAGGTTCATTGTGATTTGTTGATTTAAATGTGTTTGCAGGTGTTCTTACCTCAGTCTTGGTTTGAAATCAGCAGCAGTGGTGTTGGAACGATGGATGCAACCCGCCCTGCAAAACACAAATCAGACACAGAACATATAAGAACATAACGATACATTTACATGTATGAATGTGTCATAAAAGGCTCCTTTGTTTTGCACTTAAAAAAACAGTAGTAGTGTAGAGCCGGCCTTTGCAAAGTGAAATTAGTGCAAACTTTGGGTTACTTCCTGTTGGGTTTGCCAGAGTAAATAATACTTGAATCTGTACCTATGTTCGGAGACCACGCCTCCACACCAGTGACTATCCCCTGTCTTTTTCATGAAGAATTAAAGGTCACCTATCGTGCTATTTTTAGGCAATAGAATAGGCCTCAGATATATAAAAAAATATAAAAAACATGTCTATGAAGTGTTTTGGTCAAACAGCACACCCATTCTAGCCATGCCTCATATCCCTCTATTTCACTTCCTGTTACAAAAGTGCTGATTCTGGGTATAAATAGGTCTCTCTTCAGAATGAGACCCTGTGTCTCAATTAGATTTTCACATGTGAACTATTCATATCTTAAACTGCACTGTAACTTTTTATTCATGTACTTTTTTATTCATGTATTTTCTCTTTTAATGTTTCTTTTATTAACTTTTATTTTTAATGACTGTTTTTAAATGCCTTTGTCTGAATGTCTTTCATTTTTGTAAAGCACCTTGTGTTGAAAGGTGCTACAATGGGGCAAAAAAGTATTTAGTCAGCCACCAATTGTGCAAGTTCTCCCATTTAAAAAGATGAGAGAGGCCTGTAATTTTCATCCTAGGTACACTTCAACTATGAGAGACAGAATGGGGGGAAAGAATCCAAGAAATCACATTGTAGGATTTTTAATGAATTAATTGGTAAATTCCTCGGTAAAATAAGTATTTGGTCACCTACAAACAAACAAGATTTCTGGCTCTCACAGACCTGTAACTTCTTCTTTAAGAGCCTCCTCTGTCCTCCACTTGTTAACTGTATTAATGGCACTTGTTTGAACTCGTTATCAGTATAAAAGACACCTGTCCACAACCTCAAAGAGTCACACTCCAAACTCCACTATGGCCAAGACCAAAGAGCTGTCAAAGGACACCAGAAACAAAATTGTAGACCTGCACCAGGCTGGGAAGACTGAATCTGCAATAGGTAAGCAGCTTGGTGTGAAGAAATCAACTGTGGGAGCAATTATTAGAAAATGGAAGACATACAAGACCACTGATAATCTCCCTCGATCTGGGGCTCCACGCAAGATCTCACCCCGTGGGGTCAAAATGATCACAAGAACGGTTAGCAAAAATCCCAGAACCAGACGGGGGGACCTAGTCAATGACCTGCAGAGAGCTGGGACCAAAGTAACAAAGGCTACCATCAGTAACACACTACGCCGCCAGGGACTCAAATCCTGCAGTGCCAGACGTGTCCCCCTGCTTAAGCCAGTACATGTCCAGGCCCGTCTGAAGTTTGCTAGAGAGCATTTAGATGATCCAGAAGAGGATTGGGAGAATGTTATATGGTCAGATGAAACCAAAATAGAACTTTTTGGTAAAAACTCAACTAGATGTGTTTGGAGGAGAAAGAATGCGGAGTTGCATCCAAAGAACACCATACCTACTGTGAAACATGGGGGTGGAAACATCATGCTTTGGGGCTGTTTTTCTGCAAAGGGACCAGGACGACTGATCCGTGTAAAGGAAAGAATGAATGGGGCCATGTATCGTGAGATTTTGAGTGACAACCTCCTTCCATCAGCAAGGGCATTGAAGATGAAACGTGGCTGGGTCTTTCAGCATGACAATGATCCCAAACACACCGCCCGGGCAACGAAGGAGTGGCTTCGTAAGAAGCATTTCAAGGTCCTGGAGTGGCCTAGCCAGTCTCCAGATCTCAACCCCATAGAAAATCTTTGGAGGGAGTTGAAAGTCCGTGTTGACAGCCCCAAAACATCACTGCTCTAGAGGAGATCTGCATGGAGGAATGGGCCAAAATACCAGCAACAGTGTGTGAAAACCTTGTGAAGACTTACAGAAAACGTTTGACCTCTGTCATTGCCAACAAAGGGTATATAACAAAGTATTGAGATGAACTTTTGTTATCGACCAAATACTTATTTTCCACCATAATTTGCAAATAAATTCTTTAAAAATCAGACAATGTGATTTTCTGGATTTTTTTTCTCATTTTGTCTCTCATAGTTGAAGTGTACCTAGGATGAAAATTACAGGCCTCTCTCATCTTTTTAAGTGGGAGAACTTGCACAATTGGTGGCTGACTAAATACTTTTTTGCCCCACTGTATATAAATAAACTTGCCTTGCCTTGCCTGTATAAATAAAGGCCAAAAAAAAATAAAGCTTTTTTTTTTTTTAAACTGAACAAAATTAAAATAAGAGGGGGCGGAGCTTATAGCGGCTCATGCGGGACCTGGCAGATACTGTCTAAAATGCTGCAGTGATGAAACGCAAAGGATTATTAGATCAAGGATTATTAGATCAAGGATTATTTATGAAACAGTATGGAGCTCAAAGGCTTTTCCTCTTGCCGGTTATACCACAAGGTGAGTTCCTTTTTATTTCCTGCTTCTTCACACACATGCTTTCTCCAGTACAGGTTAGCTCTGATAATGTAACACCTAATGTAACACCGACCATATTACGTCCAAAACAGTCGGGCATTGTTTCTGATAGCAACGTTTCTCATAGTGCTGTGGGTCCGCCGCCGATATTACGTCATATCGGACGCAAATCTGGATCAGCTCCGTTGTACCCCCGTTTTTAGAGATTTGGGTACGGAGGAAAAGAGAGAGGGTTTTATTTATGTATAAAAAACGTCAAAAAGTGCATTTTGCATGATAGGAGTCCTTTAAAGAGTAAAACATTTGAGAGAAGTCTCAAGATGCACAAGGCTTCAGTGCTCTAACTGGAAGTGACGATCGCCACATTAGCTTTCTGTGGTAACAAATCAATCGACTGCTCTTTAACCAAATGAACAGCAGTAAAGTGGTACGTTACTTAAATAGTGAAATGTATAACTTTTATTTGTATATTGCTGTGTTTACTGTACCAACTGCAGCTGGTCTCATAACTTCTGTTGTGTAGCAAGATGGCGATTGTTGAGAGTGAGAAGGGTTCAATGGTGAAGAGGTTTCTTCATCTGCATGTGTTTTGGCACATTTGTAATTTTATATTTGCATTGTTTCCTGATGGAAGATTTCTGGGCTGTTGCGCTTTTGCAGTCCGCCATCGTACTCAACAGCAAGTGCAAGCGAGAGAGACAGCATCTGTTTGCTCACCTTTGTTCGCATTAATGCAGGCTTTTTCTTTTCTGGTTAACTTGTCAAATCACCAATTATGTAACCGTTGTTGTACTTGGAGCGTCTTCTTTGCCAACAAAAACGATAAAGTGTGTGTGTCTGAGTGAACTCACCTGCTGAGCTTGCTGGCCACAGGTGCAGCGCTGTGTGTCAGAGCTTCAGCTGCAGAGCTGTCACTGTTCACTCGCTGCCTCTGGGAAGAGCTGCTGCAGAACACAGAGAACAACAAAACAAGCTCCTTCAGAAGTAGTTACGACATATTGTCCCTAAAGACATTTCTTTTAGGGAACTTTTTAGGGTATTTAACATCCCTGTCAGGTCATTCAAAGGAAAACACTCTCAACTGCAATGCAATTGAGCACTTCACATGATGAATAAAACGCTCATCATTTTAAATTTGAGACCCTATGTCAGTTAGTGATGACTTTAAAAACTCTGAGCCACAAGCTTTACTGCAGTCAGGGTATCTGAGGAACGTGGATCCTGTCTTGATAAAGAGTTGAGCATTGAGATAATGAGCATGAGTGACATAACACCAGAAGAAAAGTGTTTTAAGCAGAAGTTATGTGACATTGCTCAGGGTGTTCAATACGTGAGAAAGAAAAAGCACCCTATAGCAGTATTTCCTTTTGTAGTTCTACTCCACTACAGTTCAGAGGTACATGGTGTACTTTTACTCCACTACATGTATTTAATACCTTTAGTTACTTCACAGATGTGGATGAATGATGTGAAACATAATCAAGTGTTAAATCAGACTTTAGTTCCACCTGAAGTAAATCCACAAGCTACCCTGCAGTATACAAAGTCATTCAAACTAGCTGCACCTTCACCAGCTTTGAGAACACTTTCATGATCAATCATTATAAAACATATCATATATATTATTCTGAAATGGACATATTTTTGGTACTTTAACTTTATTTCGATGATAATACTTTTGTACTTTTACTTGAGTAAAATGTTGAATGCAGGACTTTTACTGTAACAGAGTATTCCTACACTGTGGTACTTCAACTGTTACTCAAGTACAATATCTGGGTACTTCTCCCACCTATGCATGGCTCAGGACAGGAGGGCTCTGCTTAAACTGCCCAGAATATCATCTGTACCAAACTACCAAGAATCATCCGAACATCTACCAACAATCTACCCATCGTCCGTGATACCTGTGAGAGGAGGAGCCTAAAGGATATTAAAATGCAATCCCCCTCCCACCACCGCCGCCTGCTCGCCCTGCTGCAGTTGTAAAAGCGTTACAGAAGTTTCCGGTGCCGTACCAGCAGACAGCAGATCCGTCCTCAGGCTCCTGAACTCATCCTCCACACTCCACCACAACACAGTGTGAGGACAGTGGACGCCTACAGACTGGCTCTGTCCTGGAGGGGAGCGTCAGGAGCTCAATGACTCTCACCCTTTACATGATGTAAAAGTCCTTAAGCAGTGGCACAATGCACCACGACACGCCACAGGAAACACTTTCTCTCTGTGGCTATTATCTTCATATATTATCCACGTCACATGGAATGACTGACAGCCAGGGTTCGAGTTATAAACTGAGCTCTATGGGGGTCTTTGAAAACTAACGCGCACACACACACCAGCTCTCAAGGTTCAACTACGCGCGCACACACACCTTCTCGGCTCGCGCAGCACGCTCACAGGCATAGATTGTCTAATAATGTATTGCGCACCTTGGAGGTGCAGCGCAAGCATATTGTCATTCAAGAGATGCGTAGTTCTTTTGGAAAACATGTTTTTCTTTTAGCCTATTTACCTCGTTAACGTAAATAATACTCATTACATTGACACATGCATTATTTGTGATTAAAATAATGGTTGTTGGTAATGTATTAGCGACCCCCACAGATGTATGATTTCACTGCGTCCGTGGGAGCTCAGATCCTCCTTAAGGGAGCTCAGCTCCCATTGGCTCCCACATAACTCGAACCCTGCTGACAGCTCATGGACACTATTCCTGGTATATTTCCACTCGATCTACTGCTACTGCTGAATAGCCAGGATACACAAAGTTCTATCTTAGCTTAATTTGAGATTAAGGACCACAGTTTGCATCCGGCCGCTTATTTACAATGTTTCTCTAAACAGTTTTCCAGTATGAGCACCACCTTCTTCCGACACGTAGTTTTATAGCCAAACTTTAGGCACGGATGGTAAAGAAGACCCTCAGGCTTTATTCAGACTTCATGCAGAAGTTACGCTGTTCCTACGTCAGCTACATGCATCTACTGTACATACAAATTCATTGGGAAGTAATGTATGCCACAAACTGAGATATCACCCAGAATTAGTGGAGTTCAAGTTGTTTCTCTGGAATATCCCTCACTACACTCTTAAAAACCCTGAGCTGATAGTCTTGTGTCTGCTTAAACAGCTTTGCACCTGATGCTGAAGAGTAAAGTGTGAAGCTATCAGCTCAGAAATCATTTCAAAACAAAATGTTTGGTGTGTGGGAGTCGTTCAGTGTGTTTGTCAGAGAGACAGAGGGATAGGGGGCAGAAGAGAGAGAGGTAATTATAGTGGGAGGAATAACGTTCACCTCTGGCCCTGCGTGGGCAAACTGTGAGTGTGTGTGTGTGTGTGTGTGTGTGTGTGTGTGTGTGTGTGTGTGTGTGTGTGTGTGTGTGTGTGTGTGTGTGTGTGTGTGTGTGTGTGTGTGTGTGTGTGTGTGTGTGTGTGTGTGTGTGTGTGTGTGTGTGTGTGTGTGTGTGTGTGTGTGTGTGTGTGTGTGTGTGTGTGTGTGTGTGTGTGTCTAAGTACAGCAGATTGGACTGCATTTCTCTCTCCATCCGCTGTTTTTCTGACTCTATCTTCTTCATAAACCCTCTCGGTCTCCTCTCTCCTCCTCATCCTCCCACTCAGTGCACTCAGCATTGCAAATCAGCCCGCCAACACACATGCATACACACGTGCAAGCGCACTCATGCATAGCCGGGGGGGAAGTGGTGTAAGGATCAGCAGGTTGTGTTGCTCTGCCTGTACTCACATTGTACCTATTACTTTATTTAGTCCCTCTTTCTGTTCTCTATGCTAATCTTCATTTTGCTTCTTTTTTTTTATCCAGTTCAAATTCCTTATCCTTCAAAGTGTTTATAACAGCAGGTTTTCATAGTCTGATACAGCAGCTGATAATCACAGTGTTCATGCTCGATTAATCAGATAATTACACTCAGATGACAAAGAGTAAATAGAGTTCCCGGCTGTAATCCAAACACCCGCTGTTCACGGGGTCATTGACATTATCCACGCTGTCACTGCCTCGTGTTTACACTAACAACTAGCACTCGTTATGGAAACAGTACAGAAGAGCACAGATATGAATGAGTAAACACATCACATTATGCTATCAGGAGAACAGATGACATTAGATCATATGTCATTCATCATGATACCTAACCCCACACACACACACACACACTCCTACAGTAGTGTGTGGGTGTTTCTCAATCTCGAGTACGCTTGCTTGGTAGCACATGTCTTCCGATTCGTCTTGCTTCAGAAGCGAGGCAAGAATACTTCCTGGCATTCGGAAAACAAAGAGTGGAACAGGCTAGCAAGTGTGCGTCATATGAGAGGCCCCGCCTTACATTTTCCGCCACAAATTTGGGGAAATAGGTCCGTGCGCAAAGCATTGTGGGGATTTTAAGACCGCAGAGTCTACACATGTGCAGCCTCGAAATTTCTCCAAACGAAGTACGCCGGGCTCGGTAGATTTCCAAGTATGCTGGACATTGGAACAGTACTTCGGCGGCACTCGATGTTTGAAATAGTGGCTCTGGAGCAGCTTTACTCGCGATTGAGAAACACCCCGTGTGTGTGGAGTTAGGTATCATGATGACCCTGACTAAAGGGGGTGGGATCAAACCATGGACCGTCTGATTGGTAGGACCTATTAATGCCTGAGCCATAGATTAACATGTACCCAATTAACATGTTTTTATTAATTAAATTACTCGTACATATTATGTTTATGGTAAATCCATAAAATAAGACATTCTGGAGTAAAGATTAGTTTGTTTACGTTCACCAAAAATATAATTTCCACAGTTCTACCTATCATACCACAACCTCCAAGGTATTCATTCAGGTTGTAATGTACTGTAGTTGGCTATTTTTTGTATTGTCAGAATTATGTATCTTTGTAATATATTGTAGTTATAATTCAAATCCAAGTTCATTCAAAAATAATTGTGGTGTAGAAAAATGTGCACAGTGGCACAGTTTTGATATTCTTGGTGAAACAAACAGTGTTAAAAGTTATTGAATGGCAGCCATTTTTATAAAAGGACCTTAGTGACTAGTGATTAGTGATGATTTTAGTTTTTACTTCTGTTCCTTCCCACAGCCTCACGTGCAAATCCATTTGTTAGGAGGCCTGCAAATTGTGGTATGGGGTTCTTCTTAAACTACTCCATATGCCGTTTGTTTAGAGACTTCGGCCAGTAAAGGTCTCTTAAAAAAAATGGAGCAAGCCCAAATGTGCAGACATACTTTCTCTCACCACGGGCAAATCTTGCTGCAATCTGGCTGTCCGGAAAACATAGCTGCGAAAAGACAACTGGTGTCCTCGAATGACATGAATGAGTGCCAATTCATGATTTAACAGTATCTCTGCTTTAAGGATGTTGTAAAGTCATAATTGGTAATTGTCCTTATACCGTAAAGCCATAAGTTATAGGAGCTGCATCTTGGCGGCATGGTGAGCTTGCTAATGCTACAGAAGTCTGAGCTGGTGGGCCGTCTCACCACCAAAACACTGCAACGGTTACAGGCCAATTAACGTTATAATCTATACATACTATTTCGGTGCTTGGATACATTTGTTCTTTTATTTGATGTAACTAAAGCCACTTTTCAAAAATTATCCAGGCCAAGGAAATTGCATTTAAAATTTCAATGGCTTCTCCAGCTTTTTCATGACCGTACAAAACCCAGCACTAACATACATAGATACACCGCCCCCCCCCCCCTTCATCCCTATTAGTCCACCACTGAAAGTAGTCCCCAATAAATGCACTATTTTGCCCTTCTGTTTATATTTACATAAAACAGCAGTTGTTTTGGACTTGTTTTAACAAATGAAAGCATACAGTCTTTAAAGATCCATGCAGTGTAAACCAGTGGGCTTGTAGTGGGTCTTTTGATGGGATTTGTTGACATAAAAAAAACCCACATCTTCTTATTCTGCAGAGAGCGTGTAAAGAGCTTCAGGTTTCTGTAGGTGAGTATTTAATCTGTGAATGTAAATATGTTTTAAAGGATTTCATACAGAGACAGGGCAAGCAGAATAATGTGTTAACCAAGGACACACACACACACTTACACCAAATATGATAGTAACACTTGGCAGGAGAAGACACTGGAGAAATGCAGATGGAAATATTATTCATGCATTTTTATAAACACAGAGAATTATGCAGTTGTTGCTCATGCAGGCTTTGCCCTCTAACAGGCTTTAACAGATAAACCTGTAGAGCAGCACAGCTACATTAGCATGTACCTGATCAACCAATCAGAGAGAACCTTCCACACATAGGCGGCGCGTGAAGCTCAGGTTTGGGAAGGCTAAATAACTTCTTTTTTTTCATCTTACGCTGCCCGCCTCCGGAGTCTATAGAAAAGAGATCAACTCAGTGAAAGCACCGCCTGCTGACCGATCAGAGCTCAGTGTGCGGAGTTTAAATCTATCAAATCATATTACAGGAAAAAGGAAATGCAGTTTAAACTGCCGTATGCAGAGAAGACGCCGACGTGTCGCACTTATCATTCATATCACACTGACATCACATCATCAATCAGATCATCGATCTCACATCGATATCACAATATTTCCTTATCTGAGTCAGCTTCTCGAGCCGTATCTGGCCGTGCAACACTTAGTTACATTGTCACACATACTGTATGCAGACGTATTATTTTAAGCAACACATTAAGTTGACGAAACACTCAACTCAAATGTAATAAAGTCAGACCCCCTCGTGTTTTAGATGGGGCAGTATCATAAAACTGTTGTACGCTTTCAAACACTCGGTAGTTTATTTTTTAACGAGTTGTTCTGTATTCTCCTTGCAGGTGCAACTCTGTGGCTTGTATCCTGGATTATATGTTTAAGTCATCATGGATGTTTAAAGTTCATATTTGTCTAATATTAGTTTACTTTTCATTAATGAAGTATGACGCTGTGCTGTCAGTACACTTGTCCCTGTTTGTGATTGGTCAAATGTAGCTAACCCCGCCCCTTTCACGTGAACGCGTTCTCAGCTGGAGAGAGCAACCCTGGCTTGATTTACCGAGTTGAAAACCAGCGCCGTAGGACCGTTTAGCGAGATCGCGTTTGTTAGGGATAGTTAAGATAACTCAAGCATATCCAGGGTCTGTTGAACTGGCTTCGTGGTACAGGGCACAGGTGGCTGCATAGCAGCGCTAATGTCAAAGACATTATATTTTTATTTTACCAGGATGCAGTTACACAAATATTTGGGAAGGCTTAGCCTTCCCTAGCCTACAGCACCCGCCGCCCCTGGGCATTCAGATATACTGTATATGGGTGTCATGATGCAACCTGACATCCATTCTGACTGAAACAAACACAATATTGCCTTTCGAGGGTTATGATGCTTCTCAGTTTTACGTTGAATCAACTTTAGAACAATTAAAATGAAGCAAAAATGTGTGAAAATGGGATTAAAAAATGTGTTTATTTCAGTATATACTGGTGTTTTAGTATTAATAAAGACACTAATGATTAAAACCACCGGATTGCACCAGATTCTGCTACACACACACACACACACACACACACACACACACACACACACACACACACACACACACACACACACCCACACACACACACAACACACACACACACACACACACACACACACACACACACACACCACACACACACACACACACACAACACACACACACACACACACACACACACACACACCACACACACACACACACACACCACACACACACACACACACACACACACACACACACACCACACACACACACACACACCACACACACACACACCACACACACACACACACACACACGGGAAGCTGCTCTCAGAGGACGTGTTAGTGTACAGCAGTTTGAGTGTTATGTGTTTTACCTGGGAGCAGAGGGTGAAGGGGGGGTTGAGGTGGAGGTGATGGGGTACACAAACACCTGGTTGGAGGACTGACTAGAGGTGCTTTCTCTAAAAAAACAAAAATCAGCAGAAAAGAACATATTAAATATTCAGCACAGCCATGGTCAGACAGGAGACTAAGCCAATGGACCCACATCAACACACCTGTGTCATGATCCAAATTCACATTAAGAAATATTATAGATATTTTCTTTATGAATGCTAAGGACAGTGCCGGTTTAGCTGTTTTCAAACATATTTTAATATACTGTATAATGTGTCATTTAATACCAACCTACAAATAGGTTTTTGAAATGGAAACTGTCTATATTGGCTGTTTTTTATATTTCACTTTTTTACTGATATTTCGTTTTTATTACATTGATATCCACCAGGGAACTTTAAGTCCTTGTATGCTCTGATATTGATAATATAATAACTCACATAACTACAATTACTCAATCAATACAAAAATATATATCATTTTTTTATAACAACTATATCATAGGGAGGTTAGTTAATGACAAGTCTATGTTGGTTGGTCATCAGATAAATGACCTGTGGTGTATTCTGGGTAACGATGGACTGACACACGTCCTGTCATGGACCCAACACACACTCTGGAATAAATCGTCTTCAACTTAACATTTGTAAAGTCGTGGTGTCTGTAGTATCATACTTATGAAGATAACACACACATTTTAAAAACAATATCAGCAGTTCACTATTGGTCGATACAAGCCCACAATGCACTGCATTGGTTTCTTTGTGTGTGTGTGTGTGTGTGTGTGTGTGTGTGTGTGTGTGTGTGTGTGTGTGTGTGTGTGTGTGTGTGTGTGTGTGTGTGTGTGTGTGTGTGTGTGTGTGTGTGTGTGTGTGTGTGTATTGAATGAGGTGTGTCAAGTAAAAAGGAAAAATGTAAATCTTCAGAAGGCTTTTTAAAAAACTGTCAAACATAGGTGGACATGTTTGGCTAGAAGAGAACAAAGATGGAGAGTCTTTGTTTTTATACAAATGACTGACTGCTTGATGGACAGCTACCACAGCAGCAGCTCACACAATGGCAACATGAAGAGAAGCGAGGCGGTGCCGGGACTTCACTGGGGAGAGGAAAAGGTGAGTCTACTGCATTTATATCACACACACACATTCCTCCTCACACACACACTTTCTGAAAGGATTTTATCAGACTCTTCAGAATTCTGAGATTAAATTCAGAAACGTAATACTCTACATTTTCCCCATGTGGCCCCTAATCCTATTCCGTAAAATATATACTAAAATGATCATGGAGTAACTTTATTTGTACCCAAATATGATGCTTACTGAGATTAGCATTTTGGATTAGTCCATATTGCGATTTCAATAGGATTTAGATTAATTGTGCTGCTCTAATTAAAGTTATTCCAGTAACAGTTTTAATTCCTCCTGGTGGGTGCACATGTGTGTAGTATGCTTCATCACATAATGCTGCACTAGGCCATGAAAAAGTAGATTCATGATCCGCTGCTGCAGGGCACATTTCACTGATTCATCAGTGACATGAAATGCTTTTTGCCCGGGGGTCCCAGTTACACTAAATGGCCCCCCGGCAGGTCATTAGCCTGCATGTTTCAAACAGCCATGATTGAGATACACTGAGATTTATTTTGTAGTGAATGAATATAACTCAGCTCCGCTGTCACAATGACAGATACAGGAAATAATTCCTGCAAACTGCCATAACACTTTACAACAGCTCACCTCTGGCTGTCAGATAACTCGCTATATATCCATCTATATATCTATCCATCTATATATCTATCCATCTATATATCCATCTATCTATCTATCTATCTATCTATCCCTCTTGAAAGCTGGTGATCCCATTGCATTGAGTTGAATAACTAGCGTCCTATCTCAAATCTTTCTGTGTTATCAAAGATTCTTGAGTCCCTAGTTTCTACTCAGCTAAAACTTTTTTAAATTCACACAACATCCTTAACCCTATGCAATCTGGATTCAGATCAAAGCACAGTACTGTGACTGCCAGTCTGAAAGTCTTAGACGATATTAAGGCTGCGTTGGATAAAAAAATATGTTTGTGTTGCATTGTTTATTGACTTAGCCAAAGCATTTGACACTGTAGATCACCACATGCTGTCTAATGCAGTGCTTCGCAAAGTGTGGTCCGCGGACCACTGGTGGTCCGTGAGCACCCCCTAGTGGTCCGTGAGTATATTGGTACAATTTCACATTTGAAATAAATAAATACATTTGAGTTTTGCAGAAATATCTCCGCAATGGAGCGAGCTTAAGTTTCACTTTGAATTGCATGATATAGCCCAGTGCAACACCTTCAACGCACATGTTGGCACTCGTTTGTACCATTTTCAGGCAATTTGTAATCTGTTCTAGAAAAACGATGTGATATTCGATATTTGTGGAGTTAGGTGGTCCGCGAGTGTTTTTTTATTGGTTAAGTGGTCCTTGGTATGAAAAAGTTTGAGAAACACTGGTCTAATGTTATGTTGATGTCTCGTTTCGGTCATAATGCCATTTGCTGGTTTCAAAGTTATCTAAATAACCGTACTCAATGTGTCAGGTTGGGTAGTACTGTCTCTGACCCTGTCACCTTGGAGAAGGGAGTTCTACAGGGCTCTATTTTGGGGCCCTTGCTCTTTTTATTATATGTAAACAATATTTGTAATCAGATGCAATTTTCTACCTATCATATGTATGCTGGTGACACTATTGTATATTCATGTGCTCCTTCTCTGGATATGGCCATTTCAAATTTAAAAACTGATTTTATCACGCCACAGCATGCACTTATTGATTCAAAACTGCTATTGAACAGTAAGAAAACCAAAGCAATGCTCTTTGCTCCCAAGTCAGCGTCCTCTTGCCTCTCCGTTGACACCCTTGATGGCGTCTCCGTTGAGTTTGTCGATACATACAAATATTTGGGCTTTTGGTTGAACAGAAATCTAAACTTTAAACACCACATTGAAGTTCTAACTAAGAAACTGAAATTCACTCTTGGCTTCCTTTACAGACTTAAAGGTGGGGTAGGTAAGTTTGAGAAACCGTCTCGAGATACACTTTTTGTTATATTCCATGGAATGCTCTTAACATCCCGATAGCAATGAATATCTTAAGTGCTTTGACAAAAAATCCATAAAAAAATGTCATCTGTGGAAGCCGACCAATCATTTTAGCCGGCCCGGCTAAAATAACTGGATGGCCTACCTGCCTGTCAGCTTTCCATCTGTTCACAAACTTATCTCGTGCCCTCATTGGTCATGTGAGCATTCGTGTGTGTTGGAGGAGGGGCTCTGTAAGGAAGTGGCAGATTTTTTCCGGCTGTGTATTTTCAAATTCTAGCGCACTCGAGCTGGTTTCTCCAAAATTACCTACCCCACCTTTAAATATTATTTTTCAACTTCTTCCCGTAAAAGGTTGGTCTCTGGCTTATTCCTGTCCCAGCTTGACTACGGTGATACAATCTATAGATTTGCCTGTCCCATTGTTTTGGCCAAACTTGACCCACTCTACCATGCTGCACTGCGATATATATCAAATGCACCCTATAGGACTCATCATTGCAAACTGTATAGCATTGGTTTTTATTAATGTATAAAGCCATTTTAGGTAAGCTTCCACTGTACATATGTGCCAGATTTGCTCCAGTTTGTGACTCTTACAACCTCAGATCCAGTGCCTGAATACGGTTCCAGGTTCTTGCTGTGCGGACTGAGGCTGGAAAAAGGAGTCTTTTTCATTATGGTCCTTGGTCTTGGAATGACCTTCAATCAAGCCTTAAACTGACGGCTCTTGTCCCTATAGCCTGTTTTAAATTGAAGTTGTCTGAGGTCCTTACCACCAGCTGCTCTTGCAGTAATAAGTAGTACCTTTCAAATCAAATCAAATCAAACCTTTCTTACTGTCCAAAATGTGCACAATGTAGTGAATGCTTTTCGTCTTTTGTTTACTTAGTGGTGTTCTCTGTATTTTATATGTCTGTGTTATGTGTAAAAATGTGTAACGTTGCTGCCTTCTTGGCCAGGTCAGCATTGTCAATTAGATTTTGTCTCAATGCTTTTTATCTGGTTAAATAAAGGTTAAATTAAATATTAGGTTAAATCTGTCTGTCCGTCCGTCCGTCCGTCCGTCCGTCCGTCTAACTCTTAACTTATAATCAGTCCCCATGTTCCCATATGTTTCTAAATGATTCCGCAGTAAATGGACGGCAATGTTTTTCTTGACTGTTTCTTTATGTAATGGATATTTCCCTAAAAAACATGTTTTACTTTTAAGGTAAAGTTTTGAGTTTGAGATAAAAGGTATGTTAAGACTGTTTAGAACTGTCCTGGAGGGAATTAGTGGGAGATGTGTGACAGAGAGACTGGATTTTCAGTGTGTCAGTGTGTTTTTAAACTGACACCACAGCTCTGTAAGTGAGGTCAGGGTTTAACCAGCGGCTCTGATGACCAACCTGCTGTTCACCAGGCCGGAGGCGGGGGTAACCAGGTCCGGCATGGCTGAGGGTGAGGTGCCCACCGTTGTCATGACTACCAGTTCAGGGTCCAGGATGAAGATCTCTTCTTGGGAGATTTCTGATACGTAGTTCAGATGTTCCTAACGGAGCACAGGACAGGGAGGTCACACAGGTGTGATCAGTAGCACATAATAACAGAAATCTGATAAAAAAAGAGTCAGAACTCCTTTTTTTTTAAAACTTTTGTTAACAATGGGACTGAAAACGGACTATTACTCTAGGTGAGCTAATGCTAGCTGGCTGCTTTTATTCAAAAGCTATGGTCGAAATTCCCTACTAACTACAACTTGACTTTTGATTGGTGAGTTAGTGTGGCTTTTATATAACTGTTGGCTTCATAGTGAGCTGAGAGATATCTATAGAGATGAGTTGATCTATAACCCAGAGAGGAGAGGAAGCTGCCATCACTCTTTGAGAGGATTCAACGTCTCTCCACTTAGTTACACATGGATCCTGTGGCGGTGAGGAGGCTTTTCTCCGCACCTGCCTACCTTCTTTCACTGATCACATTTTTTGATGATCTTTGAGAGGCTTCAAAGTGGAGCACCTGCTCTCTGAACAATGTTCCCACAGCCACATAAAAAACAGGGAGCTGTGTGGAGATGTCGAACGGCAGTGGAATATATATCTCACCCTGGCTGAAAAAGTGAAACTCTGACTTTGAAATAAGAAAGAGCTAAATATATTAAGCAGACACAGCATCACACGCTGCAGGAGAAGCTGTGTACCTGTGGTGAAGGAGCCACTTCTTAGAGAAATGGACCAATTATGCCTTCACCACCCAAACAAGGTGACGAGTTAAGCCGCTGGAAAGAAACCAAATGATGGTGAGGCTCATGGACCAGTGGACATCTGCTCCATCTGCTTCAATGTCAATCCACCACAGCCAGAAGGGTCTTTTTGCCCCTCATATTCACACTTTAAGATTCAGTTTTCAATAAGTAAAGAGGCAAATGCATTTATTTAGATTTAGAGAAATAACAACCAGTGATGTGAGAGACCTACCTGTGCTCTGTCTATCCTGTAGAAGCGATCTGCTGTTGTAGCTTAGAAGACAAACAGAAAGACAGCGTTAAACAATCAAATATTATGAGTGGTGATGGAAAACTTGCAAAATTCAGCTGGTGTATCGCACCTTTTTTGATAGTAATGAAATCTCTTGACATAATACATTTAATTAAAGACAGCGTTTCAGTTTTTCATTGTAAGATACTAAGTTAACAAGCTAAAAACCTGCTCAGAAAATCAAGTTGAAGTTGGGTTGGACAGTTACATCCTGCAGGTTTATCGATGTCACTATAAGAGGTTATTATTGAGTGAGATGTCCCTCTGCATCGTGCTATACAATGATTAGCTGCTTCTCACACACACACATTCCCTCTGTCCTCTTCACACACTCTCTCTTTCAACAAGCAAGTCGTATTTTTGTTTGTTTTCGGCTGAATTCCACCAGGACCCTACACAAGCTGAGGTGTGTGTGTGTGTGTGTGTGTGTGTGTGTGTGTGTGTGTGTGTGTGTGTGTGTGTGTGTGTGTGTGTGTGTGTGTGTGTGTGTGTGTGTGTGTGTGTGTGTGTGTGTGTGTGTGTGACATTGTGTAATATGAATGTTTTTTTTCTGTGATATTTTTGGCAAGCCGCTGCTGCCGAATGAGATTAATATTCATGACATTCACCAATAAACAGAATCTGACAGAACCATGCTTTATGTTATTTTAAGAAAAGACCAACTCAGAAATCTGTTCATCTGTTGTGTTTGCACGCATTTCAATAACCTGTTTATATTCTTTACACTTCCCTAAAAAGAAGATGCCCTCGCCACACCCCTCTGATAAAGCCTTTTCTTTTTCAGGTAGTGCAACAGTTGATCGAGCAAATAGTAAATAATAACCAGATTCCTGCTTATTTCTCATAATGAGAATAGCAATTATTGAACAATTTACAGGGAATCGGTTAAAAGATCATTAATTATCTCACAATGGAAGAATTGAATAAGATGACAATTAATGTACATATGATTATTAATGTGGTACCCATTCTGTGTTAGCTATACCTTATGATCTAAGTTGTGTTCCCTTCTTCTTCTCTTATGTAGTTATTTTATGTATTTAAGAGATTCATTTTTAATGTATGCCTTGTAATCAAAAACATTTTTTTTAATTCAAATCAAAAATCTAACACTTACAGTCAAGGAAACACCACTTTGGAGATAGTCTCTGCGAAGATACACTCTTTGGCTTGGCGGCCTCCTCCTGAAGGACAGACAGACACATCAGTTAGACTACAAAGCAGGAAACATCATCCATAGTGATCCATCTATTAAACAGAAAACCCAACAGAGTAGCTCCTAAGGTGGGAGAGAACAACAAATTAGATCCATTTTGAGATATGATTTGTGTTATTCGCCTTTTTTTGTACTGGATTTCCTTATAACTTCAAAGGTCCCCTATTATACTTTTTTTCAACAGTATATTATCGGTCTCAGATATATACAGAACATGTCTCTGATTGGCTGAAACACCAACCAGATCATTGTAGCATCCCATAAACCCCTCTGTTTCAGCCCTGTTCCAAAAGTGCTGATTCTGTGTCTGTAGCTTTAAATGCTAATGAGCTGCTGAAGAAAGATACACATAACCCAGTTACAGTGTGACCCATGATCAGACCAGAAGTGTTATGAATACTCGATTCTGATTGGTCGATTTGGACATTTCAGAGGTTGTTAATACTCGCGAACACACACCTGCTTAGCAAACTTAATGACAGTTGATAAGGAGGATCAAGGGAGAGAAGGAAAGAGGGTGTTCTTTTTAGTTGTTTATCCACATCTCCATCATTACCAACTTATTTCCAAATATGTGCAAAACATTGATTTCTGTTTGGTTCGGGACTGAAGTTGGATAAACCAATGTTTGAGAAGCCAGTAGAGTTGTGTTTGTGACCTGAGGAAATTTCTCCGTACCTTCCCATCCACGCGCCTCATTACTGAAACTTTTTGTATGGAGGTATCACGCAGACGGCTAACATCCAGTCTCCAATTAGCTCAGAAAGCTGCAGCAGGATTTTTAACAAGATCAAAAAACAGACCGCACATAACTGAGCTTCCTGCCCCCCCCCCCACACTCGCTCCCTGTTAGCTGCAGGCCCAGTTTAAACCGTCTTCTTTTTTTACTCAGCTTCTATGTGTGGACTCCTGCTGCTCTAAAACACTGTCTGCCCCTCAGATCACTGTCTGTCCGCTGATCAATCTCTAAATGTTGCTGGGAGAGCTTTCTCACTCCACTGATGTTCCCAAATTAAAATACATTCTTACTTTAACTGTTCTCTGTGCCTGCCGTACCCTTAACGGAGCATTTCTCTGAGCCCAAAACTTGTATTGAGCGCGTTCCTGTGTTCTCTTTACCAGCTGGGACACACTGCTATTGTTTCACCTTGAGATACTGTGTGTGTGTCTGGAGATTGTTTTGCCAGATTTTTGTATTTCTGATTGTGTCACCTTGATAGTGTCCAACTGTTTAAGATGCAGACTTATGTATGAAGTTAACTTGCAGATGGAAAGCGGTATTATTCCTTCAAACCATCATTTCTGAATATGTTTCACTCGTCCGCATACAAAGCTGATCATAATATCGATGAATCTATTGGTCTGTATCACAGATCAAATTCAATCAATACATTTCACCTTGATTTAACACGGACTCTTTTCCTACAATGACTGGGATACAATGTTCAACTTTTAGAAACTAATCACATTTACAGCTAATCACTCTGTGTTGGCAGCTCCCAGGCCATACCAAACATTCTCAGTTGAGCACTGAAATGTAAAGTCACCTTCCACTCGATGTGACGGGAGGAAAACACGCCAAAGAAAGTAAAGTTGTTTTCCTAAACTGCAAAGCTTTGCTGCAGACTTTGACAGAAGCTGGCTGGAGTAAACACTCCTCCTCTCCTCTGAGTGTGTGTGTGTACTTATCTAATCCTTCAGCAGCACTCTCTTACAGTCAAACGCCTGCAGGCTTCTACAGCAAAACCTACAAAACGGCATCAAAAGCTGAACGCGTCGGACTGAATGAGTCCTCTCCTCACCTTCTTTCTTCTCCTGTCTCCTCCCGCTCACTCCTGTTTGTCTTTTCACACATCAAGCTGCAAAGTTCTCTCTCTGTTTGGGTCAGATTTGGTTTTTGATTCATTCAGCTCCTGGAGTGTGTGTGTGTTGTAACAAACAGGCGCCTGGAAGAGCAGTTCAGGAAGCACCTCTGTTCTTCTCAAATCTGACTGAGTTACCACTTTCATCAATCATAGATATTGTGTTTATATTTGATTGCTTCAAGGCCTTATGATATCCTCCACAGTAGGCATTTCCACAGTGGTATAGTCAACCTTGCAACACCTAGGAAGTCAAAAATGACCTCCATATGAAATGAATGGCTAACCCTAGATTATGTTCATCCATCAGATACACCCAAATCATCAACACTCGATAATAAGTAGTCTGAGACATTGTAACAGCTAAAAGGGTGTTCAATAAAATACAATTTGGTGATAATTAATGGTTTTTGTGTTAATATTAGAGTAGGTCAAACAGACCGGTCAAATATGTCCAGGAACACCGAAGTTAGGGGGGGAGAAACGAACACAAAGTCTAGTTGGGACATTTGTTTGGTCAACATTAACAACAGACACACACATTAACTAAATATATTCTGCGATAACTCCAACTAACGTTTTTTTCTCTCCTACACAGTAACAAAGTGCAACAGACAGCATCAGCGGAGATCAACCGTTGCAACGGGTGTTACATCATCGGGGTTGCTAGGCAACACAAAGTCTGACAACAACTCATGAGCTGTCTCCTCAGCGTTAGTGATCTAACCTATATAAAAACAAGATAGCGTTGTTAAAAAATATCACTTATAGAGTCAGTGTTGCTCTGCTTGCTCCCAGAGTGGAAGATGAAAGCTTGTTGTGGGATGAAGGATGCGGGTACGTGATATCTACATCAGATTCCTCTCAGCCACCTAAATAAGTTCAAGAGCTACTTCACATCCTGTGTATGAAGCATGGGGGGGGGCACAAACACTGTTTCAGGTTCAGGAGTTAGGACAGCCTCAGTGGACAAAGCCCTGCTAGATGAACCTGGTTCTGAATGGACTATTCCCTAACTACCTGCATCCATTCACCTATTCACAAACACTCCCCTGCCGATCTACAGCAGCTCAAGGACTAGAGTGACTAAGAGTCCCACATATTTAGCTAATGTATCGCATTTGATTGACAGTCGCTCTTCTAAAACTTGGCTTTAATCCAATGGATGTTTAGAAAGAGAGGGCTGTCACCATTAGCTGTGTCAGATGTCAATCAATTAACAAAGACATTTATTTACTGCTGGGTATTTGTCGTTTTATTTTTTAAATCACGCACCGAGGTGAATATGATTTAAAGCGACACTACATGCGTACAAATGTAATACCAATGTAATGACATCTTGTAAGACTGCCGGTGTGGTTAAAATGGCAGAGATGTCTCACCCTCTCTACGGTGACCATGAGACATCAGGACAAATGTCTGAGGTACACCTCTAACTAGAGACCCCCGTACCTTCCAGATGAGACTGTCAAACAAATCCTGGTGATATGATAGTGTCCCCTGCATGTTATTGTATTTCATTTTAATTATAGTGATGTAGCACTCTGCTGTTTGATGTCAGTCTTAAAACAGTGACTGTATTAGTCTCCCCAGATGTCTGCCTGTTGTCAATGTGGTGGGAAGCCTTCTATCCCAGCTTTAATGAATGGAGAAAAATGGATGAGCAGATGTATGTTGTTGCCACAATAATAACATCATAAAGCCATTGCTCGCAGCAGAGCTTACGGTTGGACGGTCTTGATCTTCATGCTTACTAACTCAAAATAGTTTTTTGTAAATGTTGTCCAATTGAAACTAAGGTCATGAGACCAAATGTCATCTATGAGTTGTTTCAAACCCCATATGACAGTTTTGATTGAAGTACAGGATAAGTGATGATGGTGGAGAGAGGACACAGCTATTATTTGTTTTACTGTGCTTTGTGATTTATTAAAGGATGTAAACACATCCTCAGTGTTATTGTGATATCAAAAAGGATCTGTACTGCTATAACAACGAGAAAGCATTATTTGCAAGTAAGGTAACTTTGCTTGGTTAATGCGATTGAATTATACTCCTATAAACCAGATAAATGGAACAGACTGCAGGGGTCTGTCTGTGCTGTAGGATGCCCAGCAAAATATAACATCTCAATTCAAATAGCTATTGGCATTCTAGACATTATTTTACTTGTAACAAAAGTGCAAAAGAAAGCGTAGTAGTACAAGGGTTTAAAGCGACTGTATTGTGTAGTTAAAATCCCATTTGAAAAGCAAGGCTCTTTGAGTTTCATTTACAACACTTTTAATGAGCTTTTCTGTCTGATCCTTTCTTCTTTTGTGGTAAGTGTTTGTTGAACAAAGGAGGTACCATGAATACACACCAAATATACTCCAAACATTGGAGCTGTTTGTCACCTCACTGTTTGTGTTTCTTCTGAGGAGGTCAGAGAAAGTACCTTATACCCGCATCTAAGTAAACATGTCAATAACAAGTCAAACTTTTCATCACAATAGACTCACAAAAATTATATATAGATACGAGAGGCACACAAGAACAGGTAACAAAGGTCATAAACACACATCTGAAAACAAAAACAATAGTCCATGCATCATGCTGTAACATGCTGAGAAACACAGCGGAAACTAATCTCTATGGAAACAAATCTGTGTGTGTGTGTGTGTGTGTGTGTGTGTGTGTGTGTGTGTGTGTGTGTGTGTGTGTGTGTGTGTGTGTGTCTATCAGGGGTCAAGGTGTGTCCCTAACAGGTGTGAAAAGGCCTCTAAATCAGAGTGGGTGTTCATTGTTCGTTTAAACCTGCCTCTTATCCATCAAAAATATTTGCAAATGACCACAGAAGCTGATAAAAAGGGAAGGGGAGTGTAAACTAATGCATCATCTGACTGATCCTGTATTCTGTGCCCCCCCCCTCATCATTAATGCCTATAGGGGTATAAAAACACTACTCTTGCTTCTTTCTTAAGGGCTTTCAGTTAAAGATATTCCCGACTGAAAGCCTGGGCAGAGTGTTTGGCTGCACCCTTATGTTCCACCTGACAGGAAAATAAATGTCTGGATATTGCACACAATTTCTACGGCTCCTGAAGTATTATTTAGGTTAGTATACGTCCCTTTGTTATCTGCAATATTCCATTTTCAACTCAGAATGTATTGGGCTGTAAATTAAAATGTGCATACTGCATTTCTATAGAATGCTTGTGGACGGATATCCTACAACTTTTAACTGAGTTGAAGTTAACCGATCATCAAAAATCAGCTCACAGGGTAGAGCTGCACGATATATCGTGTCGTGACAATATTCGCGATATGCGCATGCGCAATATTTACATCACGTGGATTATTTATTTTTTTGTAGGACTTGCGATATTAAGTAGGCAAATTAACTCAAACACGTCATGTTACAATTATTTTTGCTGCTTGCTACAAAAGGAAAAGTTGCGCGGCTCTCATGTCAGGGGTACTTGAGTGAGTGACATGCAGGCTCTGCATGCACAGCAAACCACAATCAAATCTCCAAAGCAAACGGACCCCGTGATTAAAGGTAAAAACACTGAATAAAGTAGTGTCATGTGTTTCTCCAGGGCAGTTTGGCGCTGCTAACCAAGCTAGCTCAGCTTGTTGCTCTTAAAAGTGGGGTAGGTCATTTTGGAGAAACCAGCTCGAGTGCGCTAGATTTTGAAAATACACAACCGGAACAAATCTGCCACTTCCTTACAGAGCCCCTCCTCCAACACACACGAACGCGCACATGACCAATGAGGGCACGAGATAAGTTTGTGCACACATGGAAGGCTGACAGGCAGGTAGTCCATCCAGTTACTTTAGCCGGGCCGGCTCAGATGATTGGTCGTGCTTTTTACAGAGCCACGGCTTACACAGATGATATTTTTTTATGGATTTTTTGTCAAAGCACTTCAGATATTCATTGCTATCGGGATGTTAAGAGCATTCCATGGAATATAACAAAAAGTGTATCTCGAGCCGGTTTCTCAAACGTACCTAGCCCACCTTTAAGATCCAGACGTCCTTCATCCGGTTAAATATAGTTTAAAAAATACCAATTGTATAGCATTAAAGTTCAAGAAAGGATGGTTTGCGGAAAAAAACCCGGTATTTTCTTCAATTCCAGTATGTTTTCATATCGCAATATATATCGCAGGGGGGGGGGGGGGGGAATCGTAATGTCAGTTTTTTTCCAATATCGTGCAGCCCTATCACAAAAAATATCCACTTTCTGGTTAAAACTGCCATTTTTTATCCTGAAAATGTTTTAGAACTATCGTCCACATAGGCTATAATGGTAATAAATGCTAACTAACATAACTTTTGCAAATTGTGCAAATTGCCCAACATATGCAAGTTAGCATACGGCACGAATGGAATGGTCCCCTGGGTGTATCTGCAGGTAAGGCAGCTTTGGAATCGGGCTGACAAGGTCCTTCTGGAACTAACTTGGGAAGAAGGTCCCTGAAACAGGAGAGCCGAGCTTTAAAGCTTCATATCAAAATCATGACCACAACAGTCAGACATGAAGAGGGCCTGAGGACGGCAGTTTGATCCTGACAGACCTAACAGTCTTTGTGCATCACAGTATGTGTAAAAGTACACGTTGAGAACACACAATATGTCAGTAGAAACGGATCATTTTACTCCCCTACCAGACATGCAGTCTGCTTAATTCATCTGTAATGGTCTTTATGCCTATCAAACACATGGCTCCATTAGGGAGGTGTTCCATTAGGATGTCAGAACATGAAAGAACCATAATGGATAGAGCTGCATGTGATAGAGCATCTGACACACAAGACAAAGGGCAAAACCACTCTTTCTTCCACAGTAGCAGTGGACACTAATGATATCAGGAAAGTGTTCTCTCACATAATACATAGTGTGACTTGTCAAAAGAACTTTGAAGTCACATTAAATCATTTACTCTGCTGTATCTTCACTGAGTGCATTTCTGGGATTTATGAGACTTTGTCAACTTTGGGGAAGTTTATATTTTCATCTCTCTCTCTCGATTTGTTCTAATGATGACTTAGAGGTTATGCTTTCTACTTTCGATGTTGATTTTTCCTGAGCTTGTTTATTTATTACATCTGTATGTGTGTTTGCGTATGGTGTTGTGTAATGTATGACTGGCCACATGCCTTACTTTGTATCCCTAGAGTACAGAATGAGCTCTGTTGATGTGTGTGGGAGTTTGTTTGTTCAGAATTGTATTGTGTGTGTGTGTGTGTGTGTGTGTGTGTGTGTGTGTGTGTGTGTGTGTGTGTGTGTGTGTGTGTGTGTGTGTGTGTGTGTGTGTGTGTGTGTGTGTGTGTGTGTGTGTGTGTGTGTGTGTGTGTGTGTGTGTGTGTGTGTGTGTGTGTGTGTGTGTGTGTGTGTGTGTGTGTGTGTGTGTCCTGGAGGCATTCGAGCAGGTGGAACATTGTCAGATGTAACCCGGTGTCAGATGTAACCTTTCCACCAAAATCTACCTCTGGATTCACACCGCAGGATTTACCCAGCATTCAGTCTGTTACCTCCAGAGGTGGAGATATTCAGCTAGTAAAAGTCCTACATTCAAAATTGTAATTTGTTCTTTATTATGCAAAATGGCCATTTTAAGCACCAGATATTTATTGTTCATAATTTCAATGTTGCACTTGGTATATTTGAATTACTTTGGGTAGCTCAACCTAGAATAATGTGTAATAATGTGTGTCGATTTAAATATAAAGTAACTGCAAATAAATCTGCATAGTAACTAAAGATGTCAAATAAATGTAGTTGAGTGAAAAGCACAATAGTTGCTAACAAAATGTAGTGGAGTAAAAAATGTGAAAATATTCAAGTAAATTACAGGTAACTACATTCTTTCCTTAAGGAACGACCATGGGTAAGGTAGTTGTAGTGTAAATAATAAATGTGGTACAAAGAGGCAAAGTTATTGTTGTGCTTGGACGCCGTTGGGTCCTAGCGCTCTCGTGCTCGGGCCCTACATGTAACCTCTTCTTGTGTGTTTCAGTAAGTGCTAATGTAACATAAGGAATTGAATGATTTTTTTCATTTAATTTGAAAGTGTTTGTAGCTGTTAGTTTCCCATGTGCCAAACATAAACCACGCCAAGTACTCCAGTCACAAACTACCAACCTGCGGCCCCCAGTATGTGAGGGAGGGGTGAACAGAGCAGAAGTCCTGGAGGGGGGGAGGCAGAGGAGAGGGGAGAGGAGAGAGGAGTCTGCAGGTTTGACAACTCACACTGTGAAGCAGCACGATAAAATGTACTTTCTCTTCCAATCAGAGTGAGCCAAATGGTTCCCATAGTACCGGCCATATGTATGGGTTTCATAATACAACAGACACTTTCTGACTGAAACTGCGTCTGAAAGCTTCTGTACCTTTCTTATGTTAAACACTTGACTTAAACCAAATATATAAATGAGACATTCCTTGACACTCAATTAAGCACACACTTTAATTGGCTTTAAAAAACCTTCCATTCAGTGACACAGAACTATGCCCTTTTTCTTACCTCCTGTAAACGCTGGATGTGTTCTCTGCAGGTCTCTAAGTCGCTGTCACCAGACACCACGATGAGTCCCAGAGGAATGGCTGCAGATACAGAGGAACAAGACAATTATCCTACAGCACTTTGATATCTACTTATACAGTGGAGCTGAGCTGCGGCCTCCCAGGACCCTGGAAGTCTTGCCACTTTTAATTCTGCTCATTTTGGCCCGAGGGATGTGGACCTGGAGCTACACATGAATCTAATATACAGTATATATAGGGTTGTATGGACTGTGCACCAACATTGAAAACCACCTACAACTTATCAGCTGTTGTTAAAACTGGCTACAATCAGTGTTTTAACTATAACTAGAATTACTAGTTAAGCCCTATGTAACTTGCAAGTGTTTTCAATATGTTATCACTTCAATATTTTATCCTAGTTGTGTGAAATTGTCATAGTTAGAACTTTGAAATGTGCTCGGATTGAACACCCCATCAATAGACAACTGCTCTTACTCACGAAAGGAAGTAAATTCAGTTTTAACTTTGGAGATAATGCCTTTTATTTTATTAAATGATGTCTGCTCCTGGATATGTTATATTGACACATTCCCTTGAAAGGGAAGCTTCAGCTCCCTGAGGAGGCACCTACACCACCCTGCTGGATGAATATCACACAGCTCTTTGTGCTGGAGCTCCTGAACCCACACACACACCTCTCATTGATACTAAACATCTGAGTGTAGAACACTGCACAGTGAGCGAGCAACAGTCAGCACAGGCATATTCATTGGAGAGAGTCTACAAATTGTTCATTCAAGTGCATCTAGAAACAATCACCACCCAAAACAGTGCTGCAGATAACTGAATATACCAGGGAAATCTTTCAAAAGGGAACACAAGAACTCAAATCGGCACATCGCAACTTCTTTGAGGTTTTGAAGGTGGCGATTTTGAAGGTAGCCACCAATGATGGCTTGGAAATATCAGTTATTGTTATAAAATCTCTTTCCCCTGCCCTATGAATGATCTTTTGACCACGTGGAAAACCAAATTCAGTTGACAGGATTTACTCAGAAGCTTTTTTTACTGGATAACCAACATGCGTTGAGGTGTCAGAGGTGTGGAAGTGTAGCGGCAGAGGTAGTACTGTGGACATCATGGTGTTCAGCTAGCTAATGTTGCTAACATAGTAGACTAGTATTAGTGTGGTTTAGTGTCCCAAATGCTTTCTAATAAACCCCACATTTGAACCTTTTTGTGTTTGAAATGACACAAAAATAAATCTAAAGAAATGTCTAAATAGTACAGTTGACTTCCCCGTAGTCCAAAACATATAATTCAATAGCAAAATCACACAAATTGATCAAGTGGTTAACGGCCCTCTTAGAAAATGGTCGCAAATGGGAAAATTCAAGTGGCTTACGGCCTTTTTGAATAAATGGCCCCCATATGGAAATTGTGGTGCTTGAATCCAAATATGAAAGATGGTTACCTCTATCTGCAGCACTTAAACACTGCCTTTAAATGCAAATTCTGCATTCATTTCATAGACTGGCCTTTCGAGTGGCGCACAATAAGCAGTTGATTGGTGGTACATGCACTGTGTTTGTAGAGCTCACATACAAGCAAGTTGTTTTAAGTAGACAACACACTGCGGAACATTTAAAACCAGTGGCTCTGCTTCCGTTAATCAGCTGCTGCTATCCTGTTGGATATCTGGTGTTATCTGTAGAGGGTCGGCTCACATCATACCTGTGGCGTTATTATAAAGCGTCTCTCCTCTTGGTCCGTGTCAGAACACGGAGAGAGGATGACACTGAGATGATATAACACTGCGCCTCAGGGTACGAGGCATATTTTTACCATCTCCCCAACAGTGACACATCCACAAGTGGAGAGCTGTGATTGATTTGCATAATGAGAAACAACTCAAACTTCAGATCTAGAGAACAAAGGCTGAGGTATTACAAATATGGAAATGATGAAAAACATCTCAAAACCAGAAGAAATATTTGATTCAACTGAAGAAATCATTAAGAATTATTTATTTGAATCAGTATGAAATACCTATTTCCAACAATTTTGGAAATGTTTGGATTGGGCTAGAGCGCCAGATACTATAATGGAAATATAAATTACAAAAAAAAACATAGGAGAAAATGTAAAGCAACATAAAAAAGTGTACAGTATAATTAAGCGTTTCGATATTGTAAAAGCTAACAGCGCCCCCCTGTGGTAAAACTGTGAAATAACATGAACTAACTGAGGACGTGTGTGAGCGTGTGTGAGTGTATGTGTGTGCGTGTGTGTGACCACCAGCTGAGTGTAATTGGTCCTAATGACAGAGCGATGTGGAGAGAGGAGATGCTGTCCTGTTCTCTATTCCTGACAAATCTGCGCTACTTACTGTGTGTGTGTGTGTGTGTGTGTGTGTGTGTGTGTGTGTGTGTGTGTGTGTGTGTGTGTGTGTGTGTGTGTGTGTGTGTGTGTGTGTGTGTGTGTGTGTGTGTGTGTGTGTGTGTGTGTGTGTGTGCATTACATAAAAACGTGAACACAGGCACACAGCAGTGAGAAGAGGAGGATGGAGAGACGTCTGTAAGTGTCAGTGTTGACCCTCAACTCCCCCCACCCCCCCCTCACTGCTCCACCTGCTAATCCTCCAGCTGTTGTCCAGCTTCCACATGCTGCTGTCAGTCAGCATCCTCACCTGCTGCTCTCCACCCTCTTCACCTCCTCCACAGAAGACTTGAGCACATACGGACAATCAGCTGATCTGATGTAATCAATTCATCCTCAGAAAGGAGCAATTGGCATTTTAAATGGCAGCCATTGGGTGGTGTGCTAATAAAGAGTGTCCATCCACTGATGACCTCACTGTTCAACACCGCCTCAATAACACTCATATAACAATCTTTCAATGTTTAAATATCATTTACATAGCAAAACATCACAACAAATATTGTCCGGTATTAAATCCTTTTGTTTTTTGGTTTGTTTTTTGTTTCTTGTGCTTTTTGTTTCAGCCTGAATACATGTTCGTGTTCTGAAATGTACACCATCTAAAGGTCATCCCTCCCACACAATCTAACTGAAGGACTTTTTAGAACACAGCTTATTCGCTGCTGTGTGTGTCATGTGTTGTGAGGTAAAAACCTATCAAATATTTTTAATCTATCTATCTTTATTTTAGAATTGTATGTACCTTCAGAAAAGGGTTGTGCAACCTGAATTGTCTTCTGTACAGTGTTGTAAATTGAAGATGTTGCAATAAAAAATGTATGATAAAAAAAAGAAGGATTCGGCCATTTGAGAGAATTTTTTTGAAAAAAGACAGAATTTTTTGAATAAAGTCAGAACTTGATTTTTTTACTTTTGATCAGACTTCCACTTCCATATGTACCTTTATTACAGATGAAGTCATGGTGGTGTCACATTGGTTACTAAAAGCGTTGCACTGCTGTGGACATACAGTATGGAAGTGTTGGTGTGTTTTTGCCCCTTACATGCTTGCCGTAGTTTGTCCTTGTCGTAGTGCAGAGCCTCGTAGTCAGTCATGCTGATCCTGCTCACTCTGATCCTCAGCCTCTCAGGCACCGGCTGCTGACTGACACACACACAAACAGAACCACAACACTTTAGCACATCCATATTACAGGTTCAATTCACACTTTAATATCCTATTCAATGCAGCCACACGGTTGGAAAAAACGTGTGTGTGTGTGTCTCACTCATTGAGGTGTGGCAGTGAGGTCCTGCGTTTGGTCTTCTGGATCATGTTGGCCTGGTTTCTCAGGCTGATGGTGATGACAGAGGGAGCCAGTCTACACGGCTCACCGTCCACCTGTAACACAAGAACACAGTGTGTGTGTACAGGATGTGTGTGTACAGGATGTGGGTGAACAGTACGTGGGTGAACAGTACGTGGGTGAACAGTACGTGGGTGTACAGTACGTGGGTGAACAGTATGTGGGTGAACAGGATGTGGGTGAACAGTATGTGGGTGAACAGTACGTGGGTGAACAGTACGTGGGTGAACAGTACGTGGGTGAACAGTACGTGGGTGAACAGTACGTGGGTGAACAGTATGTGGGTGAACAGGATGTGGGTGAACAGTATGTGGGTGAACAGTACGTGGGTGAACAGTACGTGGGTGAACAGTACGTGGGTGAACAGTACGTATGTACAGTACGTGGGTGAACAGTGTGTGGGTGAACAGTACGTGGGTGAACAGTACGTGGGTGAACAGTATGTGGGGTGAACAGTACGTGGGTGAACAGTACGTGGGTGAACAGTACGTGGGTGAACAGTACGTGGGTGAACAGTACGTATGTACAGTACGTGGGTGAACAGTGTGTGGGTGAACAGTACGTGGGTGAACAGTACGTGGGTGAACAGTACGTGGGTGAACAGTACGTGGGTGAACAGTACGTGGGTGAACAGTACGTGGGTGAACAGTACGTATGTACAGTACGTGGGTGAACAGTGTGTGGGTGAACAGTACGTGGGTGAACAGTACGTGGGTGAACAGTATGTGGGTGAACAGTACGTGGGTGAACAGTACGTGGGTGAACAGTACGTGGGTGAACAGTACGTGGGTGAACAGTACGTATGTACAGTACGTGGGTGAACAGTATGTGGGTGAACAGTATGTGGGTGAACAGTACGTGGGTGAACAGTACGTGGGTGAACAGTACGTGGGTGAACAGTACGTGGGTGAACAGTACGTGGGTGAACAGTACGTGGGTGAACAGTATGTGTGTACAGGATGTGGGTGAACAGTACGTGGGTGAACAGTACGTGGGTGAACAGTACGTGGGTGAACAGTATGTGTGTACAGGATGTGGGTACAGTGTGTACCTGTACTGGCAGTGGTTTGGTAGTTGTCAGGGTGACTTCTCTGCACTGGTTCAACCTCTCACCATGACCTCCGACCTGGAGAGTAGCCTGTACACACACAAACACACACACACACACTTGGTCATTACTCCAGCCATGTATGTATTACACGCTGTGTTTTCCCTTTGCACATTGAGGCCTTTAACTTGTGACGTTTGTTACACAATCTGCAGACACTCTTTTAAAAAATATATATTCTAACACCTACATAATACAATATATTTTGTACCTCTTTACCAAGTTGTAACTAATAGAAAAGGTGACATATGAGTGTATTGTTGGAACGATACGATTCAGAGCAGAGCATATAATCACAATTAGTCATTTTACTAACCATCTCAACTGACACCCATGTTAGGATAACGTTTATTTTAGTAAGACACACCGGTTACCATGGCGAAACGGATATGATGCGCTACATACCAGTGAGGTCATAGTAAACCCGATGACCTCGATGTATCCGTCATCATGGCGCTGAGGCTCGAAGTCGTGATGGTCTCCGGGGTTACCCCATGGTGTGGTGCCTGCACAGTATCTGCACAACACAACACACACACATCCCATCATATCACAGTGGTTATTAACCATTTAAAAAAGTAGTTGGGAATAGAGCCAGGGTCAGGTTAGTAGCAAACAGCGTGTGCATCAGAGTTAAAGAGATAAGAGTCAGGGATGCTGTGAACCTGCAGCAATATGATTGGATAATGATGTTTCTGTCTGTGAAAGAGCCAATCACCATGAAACAGTCTGCCAACTGTGATGCCAAGCCTGAGTCTGGTAATCTGCCTGAACTAATATTATCTGCAGTGTAATTGCCTGACATACACACACAGATGTTATCAGGAGCAGCAGTAACACTGTCAGGATGTAATCTATCGGTAGGAGCCAAATGCAGGTTTAGCCATTGTTGATTATTTCTAATTTAATTTGTATTTGTGTTTCGTGACTTCCTGCAATTGTCACATGGGTGTAGCGTACGGTATTAAGTTCACCAGTTGTGTGCCAGGTTTGTGTGATAGACAAAGAGGTGATTGGGTTCCGATTCCCTTTGATACCGTATGGTCCTGCTGTAAATGTTTGTATATTTGCATTACTAAATTGGATGGAACAAGATCTTTAGTTCAGACTGCTCATTGGGGACGAGTCACAAAAACGAACCAAACCTAACCTCTCCCGACTTAATTCAATTCACGGCAAAACAAGCAGCCACAAGACTGTCTCTGTGAGATTAAAGCCAGATTTGTTTTCTTTACTTTTGGACACATCCCAAACGTTTTTCTCATCTGGCCTTTATCCTCTTCCGTATATATAGAACCCTACAAGATGTGCAGTAAGTAGACACATATACATAACATACGTGTATCTGCTCCCTCTAGGCTTCATCACATGTTCATATAACATCAGTTTCTATTAATACAGAGATCTATTTAAGCTGTGACCCTGCAAACAACTTCCACACCACTTCCAACCTCCTGACCTGCCTTCATGGCATCCATAAGTGGACTGCACAAAATGTTCAGTAGCTCAATGCTGAGAAAACAGGATGATAGGGAAATATGACATTAAACACTCTTGTTCTCTGTCCCAGTCCTTATCCAAGCATTGCAGAAATGAAAGAGCACGGTGAGATTCCTTGTAAGTGTGCACATGCTGGGCCAGCTGCTTCTGATTCTGACAGTCCTTACACTATGTGTGTTTTATTATGAGCTACATAAATATTAATGTAGCAGCTTCTCATCTTTACACTGTCGTATTCACTGATTAATGTGACAAACAACAGCTGTCTGTCACCAATTAATGTTAGCTCAGTAACATGGAGACAGGCCATAACAGACGTGTGTGTTGCCTGGTTACAGTGCTTTCTGCAGCTGAAGTCAGCCAAAGATCTCTGAGGGAAGAAAACTGTATCAGCTGCAATAACTGCATCAGAGTGATACCTCTTGTCTATAGAAGATCAGTCATGTCACTTTTAGAAGTTGATCAATCATTTGTAACATACAAAATATAGGTTATGCACTTGATATTTGAACCAGTCAAGCATCACTAGCTCCTGAAGAGAGTTGTGTCACATCTAGTAGCGACCGCTGTTTTTTCAACGCGTCAAATGTCACATTTTGTGGATCAAAATGTGCGTAAATATTGGCATCAGATGGGTCTCAGATACCCAAGGACAGGATAATATCTTAAACACTGAGAGGGAATGGCCCTCATCCCTTACTTTGCCTACATTTATGTGAAAATGTTCTTTACTCCAGAACATCTGTCTTCTATCTGTTGCAGATAGACAATAGTATATCCACAGTATCAGGGACAGTATTAGTGGTAGTGGTCTCACCTGGGGATGTTGAGGAACACCAGACACTGCAGCTTCAGTCCTGAACCTTTGAGGTCAAATCTGTCCCGTCACACTGGAGAAAGAGGGGGGGGGGGGGGGGGAGGGGGTTACAGTGACAGTTACAAACAACAGCCACAACAATAAATGTTCTTCTTTTACTGATGCAGCAACCCAACGCTCCTCCCTCCCCCCCCCCCCCCCTCTGCCTCCATAAGACGTGTTTGTATACAAATGACTGACAGTTTGATTGACAGCTACTCACCACCACTCTGATGTGCTTTGACAGGTCTTTGGAGCTTCCCATCAGAAAATCTGAGAACGCTGTCTGCATGAGACACACACACACACACAGCAGCACACACACACACACACACACACACACACACACACACACCACACACACACACACACACACAACACACCAATCACGACACACACACACACACACACACACACACACACACACACACACACACACACACACACACACACACACACACACACACACACACACACACTACACACACACACACACACACACACACACACACACACACACACACACACACACACACACACACACACACACACACACACACACACACACACACACACACACACACACACACACACACACACACACACACACAACACACACACACACACCACACACACACACACACACACACACACACACACACACACACACACACACACACACCACACACACACACACACACACACACACACACACACACACACACACACACACACACACACACACACACACACACACACACACACACACACACACACACGATCAATCACTAACCACATGTTAACACATAAAGGAGCCGGGGGCCGACCATCACACATCAGAGGGGACAAAATGGTGTGACCTGAGGTGATGACGGCCCCGGGACATTTCAGAGACACAGCTGGTGTGAGCGACATCTTTTGTCATCTCTTCATAACTGCACTTTTTTTTTTAATACTCTGTCTGAGGTCACTTATAGAGCCTAGCGCCATTACTGTAGTATTTTAGATCCCTCCTTTGCCTAGGCTTAAAGCAGAGCTGATAGCCTTTGCAACATTCCTGGAAAGACGTCTAATACAAGATGGAAATCATCAACACCACCTTCCCATGCTCTGTGGATAAAAGACATGTTTTAATTTACAGCGCTCTTCCAGGAAGCTCACAATGTGTGGGGGCCATTTGTTGCCTATGCAAAGAGAGTGACCTTCCCAGATATTCCATAATAAGACCAACTGTTCTTACTTTGTACATTCATTTACTCTTTTAATTTTTTCCTCCTTCTCGTTTTACAAAAACTTTACCACTGTGTTCCGTCGACAGGTTAAGACTTTTAAAACTTGTTGAATGACCCGTGAGCATGAAATCCTTGGCCTATTACTAAATGGAAACATCCAATCTTTTATTAAACAGGCTGGAAGAGCACTGCGGTGTAAAGAAGAGAGATCACACGCTAAACAGTGGATCAATCAGATTCTCTGCTGCATACACATTAATTGACTTCTTTTATTGCTGTAAAGTCAGCCAATGTTTTAGCCAAACCTTGTCAGGAGAGGAAACTACTTTTCCAAAAGAGAAAAAGCAGCAACTGAAGAGAGAAGACTGAGGAGAACAACTCTCAAGTAGTGAAAGAAGGACATTGAGATGTAGACTTGATGCACTGTTAGATTTCTCTGAGCAGCCAGCTTATCTCCTGACAGTGATCCAGGCATGAGAAAATAAGAGCTGAACAATAAAGCAAGCGGGAAATATTTGAAATGTGTCAGAGGGATGAGCGGTCTGGTGTAATGGATTTATTACTGTGTGAATGTCTGGCTGTATCTGTTCCATCTACAGTCTGCACCCTTTCATTTGTTCTCATTTTAAATACTGCTACTTTTTACCATTTACTTATTTGTTTCTACTTATTAGTTGTATTGTTATTTACGTGGGCTTGCCCTTTTATTTAATATTGTACTGAATGTTCCCTGTTGTATACATTTAAAGGATTTCTGATTTTTGATTTGAAAGGAACTACAGCAAGGTCACATGACTTCAAAAAAACATCATTTTGTTCAGCTACTTGATGTAATATTTGTGAGCCACAGGATATTTTTACAATATCAAACAAAGTCGCGTATGATCCTCTTATCCGAACAGTATGAAAGAGAAACGTTCAGACTCACCCCAGCATAGAACATCTTGTTTCTGAAACGACTGTTGAACTTCTCTGGGTTGGCCTCTGAAACATTACACACACAGTAATCAGAAGAATACATATTTAGCTATTGTTCCCATAATCTTATCATCACACCAATATTAAAGTGAACAGCCATTTTATAATATTTGTTAATATGAATGTACCTCTTGACTCGTGAAACTCCAGAGTCACATGGGCATCAAATCCAAGACTGAAGTAATTGTTGAAAACATCTAGAGGGAGCTGAGAACAAACACACACACGATTATTTGACATTTTACGCCTGGTTGTAACTTTTCATAAGAATAATGGAGTTTCATTTTTGAATAAAGTCCAAGAATAAACATCACAAATCCAGGAAATAACTTAGAACTTAGACTCCGACAAAAGGAAGATGAGTTTGACCCTGATGCTTGGTACGACGCAATCTTTTAAAAAAGGTGTGATTGTTTGATAAATAATGAATAAAAGAAAGAATAGAATAGAAAGGCCTTGTGTAATTCACATCTCTGAATACATTGTAAACCCTTCTTCAGCGCTTAAAGCTTGTAACTGTTAGCTTTCATAATTTTCTGTCAGGTGGGGACTTCCAATTAAAATCAAATGAACACATTATCAGACTGTGAAACACTGTGTGATCACTCATCAAGTCATCAGCCTTTCATTTCTGCCATTAAAGGGGTAAAAGAGTGTTATTTCAAAGGATGGGATCCCTGATGATTTTGACTAAAAACATAATACCTGCCGATCTAATCTGTGGCGCTTCATTAACTCACCGTCAGAAATATTGCTCCTACCTCTTTGTCTTCATGCCAGAGTCTCCTCTGATAATTGAACTCTCCCAAAATAACTTCTCAATACTTCATACTACAGTTTTTCACCTTAGGAGTTAAGATGATTTACAAATACCTTACATCCTGCAATGCGTGTGTGTGTGTGTGTGTGTGTGTGTGTGTGTGTGTGTGTGTGTGTGTGTGTGTGTGTGTGTGTGTGTGTGTGTGTGTGTGTGTGTGTGTGTGTGTGTGTGTGTGTGTGTGTGTGTGTGTGTGTGTGTGTGTGTGTGTGTGTGTGTGTGTGTGTGCGTGTGCTGACCTTATCAGTCTGCTGTTCGTCAGGTTCAGCCCCTGCACTGTGGTTTGGTTCAACCTGTAGATTCCACCGGTCCAGCTGGACAACAGTCCCATCCTCCACATGGGACAGAATCTTAGACAGAGGCTCGTCTGTGTAGCCCTGGAACACATGCACACTTATATTAAACATACACACATATGTGTATATGAACAAGGGATGGGCTTTTTTTATTATTAAAAGCTTAAGAAACACATGTGTTCTGTATCTTTAAGGTGCCAATGAGCAGGTGTTTGTCAGTTTGTTCTCACCCCTCCCCAGTTGAGGGTCCTGGCGAGGTCATTTCCTGTCCCCAGTGGTAACACAGCAACAGGAGGCTGAGGATTTATCGCCAGTTCATCGAGACAAGAGAGGATCCAGCCCACCTGAGAACACACACGCAGATACTGAGATCCATGCTTCTCACAAACAGGAAGTGTTCAGTGTACCCGGGGTTATTAAATCACATAGCATGAGATGTGTCTATGCTGATGATATAGCCATTGATTACTCCTTAAATCCAGAGAATAAAAGGAGATCATCTACGATACAAAATCCCTGCACCACACGCTTTGTACGTAGATTTTAAGATTTGACTTTTTTCATTTTAGTCAGTACATCAATTAACTGGTTAAGTGATGCTTCTTTGATTCCAGATATACATCCTGGATGAAGCCAATTTTGTCTTGACAGGATAGAGAAAAAAGTACTATGGTAGTCTTCAAGTTAACTGCACATTCTTCTAAAAGTACCTTCCAATAAATATTCATATTTTAATATTTAAGTAACCAACCACAGCATCAGTTTATTGGTCCTTTTTTATTGTTCTAGCCATCTCTTCATTGTATTTCTGGGTTTACTCACAGTTCCATCCCCCCCACAGGCCAGGATTTTCAGGTTGTGCACTCGGCGATACAGCTCCAAACTAAGATGGACACAGGTTAATGACATCACCAGAAGATGTTAATTGATGTGTGGGTGTGTGTGTGGGTGTGTGTGTGTGTGTGTGTGTGCGTGCGTGTGTGTGTGTAAACGTACCCCTCCTGTGGTCCTCCCTGGCTCAGGTCAAACACCTGCCTGGGGTTCAGATACCACATGAAGGACTGCATGATCTTAGTTCCCTGTCGAACACAAAAACCCAATCAACATTGGAAGACGAGGACTAAACTGACCCAGAATCTGCTCACAGTGCAGCGGTGAGCTAAAAGCTTGACTAACTGGATGACATGTTAACCGGTTCATAGACCAGTTCATTGAAATTGCTGGGTGTGCTGCGTGTTCCTACATACCTGGTTCCCTCCACTTCTGGGGTTGACAAACACCAGCAGAGGTTTCATCAGCGGTGAAGGGATGGGTCTGATTAAAAAAGGTTTCCACTGCCGTCCTTCCTGTCAGAGAAGAAGATGATCTGCTCAGATCCTCTACAGCACTGTTACCACTTAACCAATAAAAAAACACTTGCGGACCAGCTAACTCCACAAATATCCAAAAACAAAAAGGCCTGCTTACCACTCCAACAGTAAAATGACAGCCTAATAATGACAACTTAACCTTCTCTATATCGCCTCGTTCACACATTAAATCAACAATACAAATACAACTACAGATTATACAAGCATTTCGTTCAAATGCGATTTAAAATGCTCAGGTTTTACACCTCTTATGAAATGTAGACATTTATTAGGGAGTTTATATCCGAGCCAACAGACTCACAGATTGTTGGCTACTGAGAGAAATGCAAAATACACCGCATAGTACGACACAAACCTCCGCTGTGGATTTTCAAAACAAAATACAGTAAAACTATGGTCGCAGGCCCAAGATTAACTCTCTGAGGTCTAAGCCATTTTTACACATGTTAGGCTCGCCTGGGCTTTTTTTGTAAAAATGCTAATAAAACATGAACCTTGGCTGGCCTGCGTGGTTTGCCTACAAAACAAAAATAAAAAAACGTTTTTGCAGCCCCAACAACAGCCTCTGATTCATCAACAGACTTCATGCAATGCTTCATTGGATGCATATATTGGATAATAATCTCTATCCCACTCCTAACATCTAAATCTACTTCCAGCATGGATAAATGTTCATAAAAGACATCCATTGTTTGTTTTATACACTTCTTGAAATATAAAAAAAACACATCGTTTTTCTAGAAGAGATTACAAATCGCCTGGAAATGGTACAAACAAGTGGCAACATGTGTGACGAAGGTGTTGCGCTGGGCTATATCATGCAATCGAAAGTGAAACTTAAGCTCGCTTCATTGCGGAGATATTTCTGCGAGAGTGCGGAAAACTTTTATTTATTTAAAATGTGAAATGTTACCAATATACTCACGGACCACACTTTGAGAAGCACAACACAGTCCATTCAGCCTGTTAACCTGGGACTCTATTTAATCTACGTTATCTGGACATTTTCACAAACGTAGCCCACATCATGTCCCTTAGAACAACAGAGATCCAGATGATAGTGCAGGACTGACCTCGGCTCCTTTCTTGCTGCTTTTCCTCTTGAATGATGTTCTCTTCTTCTTTTTACTGGACTTCATAGATGACTGGAGTGAGACACAAACAGAGAGAGCAGCTGCACATCACTGGGTCTAATTCACTCAGAGCAGAGTGCAAAACCTCACCGGCTTCTTGATAACAGGAAAGTATGATAATGACAGAAGACATATCCATGTTAGAGGTGTAACAGCTCACTCACTATTACATCATACCTGCTCGTCTGAGTCTGAAGAAAGCCCCCATGCAGAGGTATTTAGCTGCTTATACGACATACTTTGAAAACTGACTAAAAGATTATCTCTATCTTCTAAAAGGTTAAGTACAAGATTATAATTAAATTCTTCATTTGTTTTGGGAACATGCATATAGTCTAGACATAACTAAAAACAGTCGCAATAACACTGCACTGTATTTATACTACTATTACTTTTACAAAATCTTATTTGATGTTATATCACAACTGCCATTATCAATGTCTAACTTATCTCTCTCTGGGTCATCTCGCTGGACTCTGAACCTACAACCAGTGGAGACATTTAAAATCAGCCAATCACTACATTTTGTTCAGGGCTTGTCCTTATATGGCCACTTTTGGCACTAGATTCATTCAGAAAACGAAATTGTAATGCAGACAAAAATCGCCTTTAAAGGTGGGGTAGGTAATTTTGGAGAAACCAGCTCGAGTGCGCTAGAATTTGAAAATACACAACCGGAAAAAATCTGCCACTTCCTTACAGAGCCCCTCCTCCAACACACACGAACGCGCACATGACCAATGAGGGCACAAGATAAGTTTGTGCACAGATGGAAGGCTGACAGGCAGGTAGGCCATCCAGTTATTTTAGCCGGGCCGTGCTTTTTACAGCGCTACGGCTTCCACAGATGACAGATTTATTTATGGATTTTTTGTCAAAGCACTTAAGATATTCATTGCTATCGGGATGTTAAGAGCATTCCATGGAATATAACAAAAAGTGTATCTCGAGCCGGTTTCTCAAACTTACCTACCCCACATTTAATTGGGACAAATGTATTTTTAGGCTCTTCATTCAATTCCCACAAATTCAAAACTAAACACCTATTTGGAATTCTGACTGTCTGCAATAGAAACAATAAGTACACAATGGCTCAAACATGACAACCCATCTCTAGACAACTGGTATGAAACAATCTGTGAAATTTGGACATTACATGCGGATTTGGACATTACATGCGGTGTCCCCCAGGGGTCAGTATTGGGGCCGAAACTATTTATTATGTGGATTAATGAAATATGCAATGTATCGACAGTACTCAAATTTGTTTTGTTTGCTGATGACACTAATATATTTTGTTCTGGGGACAATGTACAGCTACTATTGGAAGAGATCACAGCTGAAATATGCAAACTAAAGTTATGGCTAAACAGCAATAAGTTATCATTAAACTTGAATAAAACAACATTAATCATATTTGGAAATAGCAATACACTAGCATCCATTAAGATAGATGGGATTTTCATTGAGAGAGATAAAGAACATAAATTCCTTGGAATCACAATTGATGAGAAACTGAGCTGGAAACCTCACATAAAACATATTCATTCCAAAGTCTCAAGAAGTATTGCAATATTAAACAAGGCAAAACAGATTCTTGATCAAAATTCCCTCTACATTCTTTACTGTTCATTGGTGTTACCTTATTTATTTATTGGGGCAGTAATTATAAAACTACAACACAATCCCTATTTATTCTACAAAAAAGAGCAATAAGACTTATTAAAAATGTAAGCTATAGGGATCATACAAACCCATTATTCTTAGAGCTAAAATGATTAAAACTGTCAGATCTTGTTGAATTCCAAATTGCACAAATCATGTTTAAGGCAAAACACTTTCAATTACCTGGAATATTCAGATATTGTTCAATGAAAGACAAGGGAATTATTATTTACGTGGTTCATTTATATTCACTAATGTTAGGGTGCGCACAACAAAGAGAAGTTTTTGTGTTTCTGTTTGTGGGGTGAAGATCTGGAACAATGTGAGTGAGGAGCTAAAGGGATGTCCAAACATCAAACTATTTAAAAAGAGGTATAAAGACACAATTCTCACAAGGTACAGGGATGAAACTGCTAAACCATAACTGTTTATATTCTTGTTTTGTATTCTATTTAGGAATTTGTGTTTGTATGAATTTGTGTATGTACATATGTATATATATAAATATATAGAGACCATTCTCCTAACTTGCCTGTATATATTATATGAATGATTATATAAATTATTCAAGGTTAAAGTATACATTGATATTGTATGTTAACACATATTAAGATGTAAAAAGAAAAAAAATGTATAGGGAAAAGGGGTCGGATTAAATAAGTGTAAACTTCTTCCGACCCCTTTTCGGACGTGTAATTAGCTAAAGCTTTGTTGTTTATTGATATCAGACAATGATACTACAGATTCTTCAATTATTAATTAAATATTTCGTTTTCATCTTTTGTTTCATTTGTATTTTCTTTGGTTTTACATGCTCGAAAAAATAAAATAAAACTAAACTAAATATTTGTAATGGAAAGACTCACTTTTTCCACCGGGCTTCAGGAAAATCATTTGAGGAAACAGGGAAAAAGTGACAAAAAAATATATTTTTCCCATAACGGTGGGTACCATTTTATTTTACTTTCAGTTTTTTATTTTCTTTCTATTTATGATTATTATTTATTACTTTTTGTTTCTGTTTCTGTTTGTCAATTGATCAAACTTTATTATCAATACTATGTGACAAAAGGTTGCTTTCGATTAGTCAGCTGTTACTATGCGACCTCTGGATCTTCCTTGTGGATTAAACTGTAAATGTAATTGTATAAAATTAAAGTGTAATTTAGAGTGAGTGTTACCTGGCGTCGGACGCGAATGATCCATGTGGGCGGGACTATGAGTGCAGCGTGAGCTCCTATTGGGCAAGCCTCTTCAATCTGCTGCAGCATGAAGCAGGACACCTTGTTGTGGTACTACAGAGGGACATAAAGACATATTTAAATAACTGACATCTGGAGAATAATGTAACTCAGTGCCTTTCCAAACACTCACAGCCTGTTTGCACCAGGAGCAGCTGATGGCCACGATGTCTTTACTGTGGAACGCAAACTTCTGCTGGAAGCCCTGCACACAACAACATCTGATGATCAATATGACTTCCAACTGACAGTTCAATTATTGGTCAATAGAGAAAATCTCACTCACTTTCCCACATTGTTTACATTTGCCTTCTTGCCTTCTCCGATGCACCCAGTGATGACGCACCACAGCGGGCTGAACACACACAAACCGTCATTTACATCAAAGAGCATTCAAGAGATTACATTTTCTAACATTGAGTTGATAGAAGAAGTGCAGGAAGAAGCTTCTAGAACTCACCTCGCGGATGTTCCTAGAGCCGGATTCTCTGAAAGACGGCTTACACCTGAAATTAATCTGCAGGAGAGCAGAGGAAGAGTAGGGAGAAGAGTCGGGAGGTGTCAGTACGAAAGTGCAAGTTCCAGCTGCAAACCCACCTGGGTGCTGTGATTATTTCATACAGTTCGAGAAGTATGGAGTTTCAGAACAGACGTGGACTAGAGTAGTGATCAGAGTGATTCCCAGGGATCAGGGTGGCGGGTGGATTTTGTTTTAGGGGGAAGAAGCGGTTAGGCTGAAGAGGCTGTTTGATTTTGAAGAGGTGAAAATGGAGAGGAACCATATGAAGAGCCAGGCACCTCAGTAAAAGGGTTTTTGTGTTTTTAAAATGCACACCCACTAATGTGTACACCATTAACAGACTCACAGAATGATTCCGCAGATCAATATCATATTGGGTACATATGTATAAAATGATGCATAGCCTATTTCCACATGTCTATTGAAACATAAAGTCAGAGGTCACATGCTGTATAATATCAATGATGTGTGCGAGGTATACATTGATTTAATAATTAAACATTCATTTTCTTGCCGTCTTTGCTTATAACAAGACAATTTCTCATTATATAGTTTAGGATGTTTAGTTAAAGGTGGGGTAGGTAAGTTTCAGAAACCGGCTGGAGAAACACTTTTTGTTATATTCCATGGAATGCTCTTAATATTCCGATAGCAATGAATATCTGAAGTGCTTTGACAAAAAAATCCATAAAAAAACGTCATCTGTGGAAGCCGTAATACTGTAAAAAGTACTGTCTGTCAGCCTTCCATCTCGTGCACGCACAAATGTATCTCGTGCCCTCATTGGGCGTGCATTGCAGCAGTACTTCAATGACTCGCCAGCAACAGGCGGCTACTTTCACCATGGCAGAATTAGGTTCAACATCGTTTACTGGTCGCAAAAGAAATAATGTAACGGAGCAAATTAAGAACAAAAAGAAAGTGGAAACTAGGAGAAGTCAAACCAGAGTCAATATCGGAGTTGCTTTTCAACGATGGCGACTACTGATGGAACACGAGGGAGACGGGTGGCGCAGTGGTCTGTGCATCCGATGATCAGATCAAGGGGGAGTGCTGGGGAACTCCAGTTCGAAACCCGCTCCTGCCGCCACTGCGTCAGGCCGTTGTGTCCTTGGGCAAGACACTTCACCCGGATTTGCTCCTGTGGGTATTGTCCACAGTATCTAACCATTGCATGTATGATATATGTGTAATGTGTGTATATGTAAAGCGCTTTGAGTCATTGAAAAAGCGCTATAATAAATGTAAGGAATTATTATTAACACACCGAGTTGAAATCTGACGCTGTGGTCGCTCTTTTTCTCTTGGACAGGTAATTTATCTGTTTTGTATGGTTTACAATTCCCCTGAACTATATAGCCAACCTAAGTCATGAGCGCGTTCATTTGTGTTGGAGGAGGTGCTCTGGAAGGAAGTCTGAAGGAAGGGGCGGATTCTTTTCGGCTGTGTACTTTCAAATTTTAGTGCACTCGAGCCGGTTTCTGAAACTTACCTCCCCCACCTTTAAGTAGTAGATCTTTATGCTTTTATTTTGAAGTAGCTCCGGGTGATTTAATGTAATCCAATGTTAATATATTTCTGTCTTTGTAGTATATTCTATATATTTCTGATATCTATTGTAGAGTATTTTGATTTATTCAGTTTTGTTTTATATTGTGTATTATTTAGATACTCTAGTTATAAATATATTTTCTACTTTGAACATGTATAAAGTTGCTTTTACTTTCATTATATGTGTATCTTATTCTATCTTTTAAACAATTTCACTCTCAAACATCTCTGCTTGACAACACTGAATTTGGAATTAATAAAGTATCTATCATCATCATCATTTGGACACAGGTGATTCGGTATTTATTGGAGACAGGTGGAGGTGGGATTGACTCCACCTTAAGTGTTTCCCAGAGAGGCCTCCCATCTCTGAAACCAACAGGACAAACGTTACCCGCTCAGAGGAGTGACAGAACTTTGATCAACCAGAACATGAGACGGTGAGGGAAAAGAGAAGGACCCCATTAGGATGTAAGGACAGAATGGTGTGTGTGTGTGTGTGTGTGTGTGTGTGTGTGTGTGTGTGTGTGTGTGTGTGTGTGTGTGTGTGTGTGTGTGTGTGTGTGTGTGTGTGTGTGTGTGTGTGTGTGTGTCCGACTCAATTTCCGATTTTGTTTGAGGTAAGTATGATTGGAGTGAGGGTCCAAACACCACCTGTCCTGTTTCTGTCAGACTGAGGACCCACACCAGGAGAGAGGAGGGAAAGGTGGGGGGGGTATCTCACTCTAAAGTCTGGGTCATTGAGGGGCAGGGTGGCATCCAACAGAATGGCTCTAGATGTGGGGAACTGGAACAGGAGGGACAGTTAAAGACACGTGCACTGTCCTCTGCTACAAAAACAATAACTGTAACAGTGAAATAAAATAAACAATTCCCTGGATCTGACTTTAGATTTGCATCATGACGCAGGGTTTAAAATAATCCTCTTTCTCACTTCTCTCTCATCTGACAACTCATCTTTGACAACTCAAAATGTAAGCCTTCTTTATTGTCCCCTTTTGTCCCCTTTAAAGGATGCTTTAAACATCCGTCTTCAATCTCTTCTCCACCTTTATCTGACTGGAGGGTTTACACCTGCGTCTTTCGGCTTCAAGTCTCCATAAAGGAGATTAAAAGGTGAGCTCATGTAAATTCCCTGAGTATAACTATTTAAAATCCATGAGAGAGAAATATACCTTCTCCAGTTGTTCTATACAGATGGTGTGGGCCACGATCTTACACGCTGCACACTTCCTGCGACTCACAGACTTTTGCTAGAAACACAAAGAAACACAGTTTAGAAATACAAAAAACAACCACACACATACAAACACTTTACTCAAAGTACTACTCAGTTTTTGTTTAATGATCATAAGCAGTTGGTAAATAATTTTTTTGAATGGGAAAAATGAGGCAGTAATGATATATATGACCACCAGGGGGCAGTACTGTGCTGCAGAAAGAGACACGCTGTGGGCTGGAAGCTGGTACTGAAATTAGAATGATGACATGATGCTTTATGACTTGTGAGGTATCATATGTATGTGTGATGTGATGGGCTGTGATACGAGCCGACATGAGTACAATTATACCATGATGTGAGCGTGGTGATGACACCAGAGGTCCTTCAGCGGGAAATACATCTCTGTAGCATCACTGTGCAGAAGGTGTTAAAGCAAAGACCAGAGTGGGTTCTCTAAATGAGTCACATTGCCATCTTAAGGTATAAATGTTTAACTGATGTGAGGGGTGTGACAGTGAGCGATGAGGGGAAATGAAGCACAGACTGGAACAAGCACAAGCTTTTTAACGGCAGAACACCCATAATGTCTCACTATTATTCAGCCATTTCTTCGGTATATTATGGAATGGTTTTCAGCAGAGAAGTGTAAGGAATGTGCGATGAAATAGCTGTGTATATTTCATTGTTTTAATAGTGTCTCATTGGTGATCTCAATAGAGGAAAAGTGGATTTTTCACTATGAATATAGTAAGGTAATATATAATAAGAATGAATATACTTAATATATAAATTACAACACATTTTCTTTCCTTTTATGACTGCACAGCTGGATTGAACTTTATTGAGTCTTGCAACATAATCTTGCACTACTTTATTCTACTCTGTTTCTTCTTTTTATTGTTTTAAATTAGTTTTATTGTTATCTTAAATATATATAGTCATGTTGAATTGTTGGAGGAGCCTGGGACTTAAGATTTGCATTGACATTACTACACTGTAGCTACTGTATATATGACAATAAAGCAACCTTTGAATGTTGAATCTTTGATATGTCGCACATATTTATTTTTTTAGATAGTAATTTCTCATATTCTTACTTCCTTGTGTATTTATATTTCTTGTAAATATGTATTTGTATTTATACATTTCATAATAGTTAATTAAATAGTTCTATATATGCTTGATTTGTACACTGTTATTGTGTTTATGTACTGCATTTGTTTGAAACAGCAGCATATTCATTTTAAAAACAGCAAGGACCCTGAACAAGAGTGAATGAACCCTGGACATAACATCAACTCTCTGTGAACACCAGTCATAGCAGCTGGGAAAAGGTCAAAGGTCAGAGCCCAGGAGTCAGAGGCTGAACGGAGATAGAGAGGAGGAGGATATTCACATGTGACACCAGAGATCATCTGTGATCGGCTAAAGGGCGAAACACCAAATTAAATATGACAGCTATTCCATCAAACGGTGGCCTATGAGAGACTATAGGTGGGCCGTGATGAGGCCTCTGACACGTATACACCCTGTCGGATCAACTGAATACAATATATTGATAAGGAACTTGTAGAAATATTGTTGGGGGCACAGAGGATAGAGGAGATACTTACCAGTGCTCTGGCTATACAGTGTTGTTCCCCCACATAACAGTAGTCTCCAGATGCATTGGTCTCATACCAGATATGATCTCCATACTGAGCCGCCTCCTACAGGGGGGGGGGGGACAGAGACACACAGGAGAACACATCATGAAAATCACCTTATTATTCGTTTCACTGATGGTTCACTTTAGCATCGATAGGTCACTGATAAAGCATACAAAGATGTTAGATGATTGTGCAATCATTGGCGCTACAGTCCACTACTGTGTTCATATAGGTATTTAAATATAGATGTTAATAATATGCCTGCACAGTTGACTTATTCAGCCGTTTCTTCAATCAGGACAGACTGTCTCACCGGCGAAACCTACATTTCAGAGACACATTTGTTTCCCTGACAGCAAAAACAGCCAGGGTAAGGTGTGCGATGTCACAGCTGCTGTGTGTGTGTGTGTGTGTGTGTGTGTGTGTGTGTGTGTGTGTGTGTGTGTGTGTGTGTGTGTGTGTGTGTGTGTGTGTGTGTGTGTGTGTGTGTGTGTGTGCGTGCGTGCGTGTGTGTGTGTGTGTGAGAGATACTCACAGTCCAGTCCAAAGTGCTGCGGATGTGTGCCTCTGAGTCGGTTCTGGTCAGGGAGGATGTGCTGGGCTGGCAGGGCAGCGTCTGCAGGCCCGACTTAGCTATGGCTTTCCTGGAAACACAAAGAGACGCAAAACTGTGAATGCTCCTATGTCTTCCTGATAATGAACTCAAGAAAAAGAGGCAAGAAAACATAGGTAAAAACTGTGATCTGCCATTGTCACAAAGATTTGAAAGGGTTTGATATTTAAAATGATACTAATGATGTGAAATATTACTGATCAAACATTACATACACAAGATAAAAGCATATCAAACACACTTAGTGTTTCCTGCCGATGTTCTCTTCAGTATTGTAGATGTACATCTTACAGCAGTGTGTATAACGTAAATCAGGATACCAGAAATTAGGTAGGCAATACCAATAAATATATAAAATAAATGAAATAAAACAATTCTGGATAACCAATTAAAAAACTACTGTGAAATCAACATGTCAATTTCTTATATTCCATCATGTGACTCTTAATGGTGTATCTGATTATATTTCAATGGCTTTATTTCCTGGGAGCTGTAACTAACAAAATAATAATAACTTAAAATAGAAGCATGAAATGAGGTTAGTAAAATATATCTAATACTGGGCATGTTAAGTAATACAGCCGTACATATAACACCTGGCAGATGCACAAGGACCGAGCCACAAGTGTCATCTCTCCATTGTCAGTACTGCGCAACAGACTTTACAAAAGAAAAGTCACCTACTTTGTATCCATCCATTCTCTGCACAGGACTGACTCACATACAGACAAACAACCATTTATTTCCACACAAACAAATCAATAAGCAAAGCAGCATGTGTGTGGGCTGTAGAGAGAAGAGGAAAACTCAACACAGCACTGCTTTTAAAAAAGACATTTGTATGGTGAAGTTCAACAGGAAGTGGAGGGTTATTTTTGTTTGTTTGGATTTTTATAGACATTTTTCATAGTTCCGCATATTTACCGTAATAGCAAATTGTCTGGATAAGCTTTCGCTAAACAACAGGTGTTGGCTCAAACTTACGGACTAAATCTAAATGACATATCTAAAGCAGCAAAGAGCCTAAAAGGAAGAGGGAAATGATCTCAAACCCAAGTATGAATATGAGATAAAAAGGCAATGTGAAAATAACAGAGGAAGGAAAAGCAGCTTCTTTTAGATGTACCGGAAAATAAAACCTGCTCAACTACATTGTGCACGCCATGGAATAACAATTCTTGCGATAAGGAAATGGAATGAGATGACATTATGTGAGATCACTAAAGAGAAGATGGAGTTTGGTGACGTTGACATACACCGAGCAAAACCGCACACACACAGTGCATAACAACGGACTCCAGTGCACGCTATTACGGGCACTATAGAGCACGCACAAAAGCGCGAGCAAACACACACTATTAAGATGTAAAATATTATTTTACCAACAATGTGGAATTTACATTCATTGAAGTAGGCTATCAAGGCATTGCTAATTCCTGGCTACATATTACACAGATTCTGCGTAACAATGCCCTGCCCCTGCTTCTTCTATTCAAATCTTTTAGCAGATTTAGCGCTTTTAGTGAGAAGGAATTACGAGATACGTTTTTGCGCCATGTCAGTTACTTGTCACTTGTGTCGTGCGTCACATTAAAAGCAGCCGACTAAAAACTTCCCTGAAGCTAAATAATTTATTATATAGTTTTAAATTATCATTTGAATAATAATATATAATATAAAATATATCTCAGGCATGAGATGAAATCAAATCAAAAATAGTACAGGCAGAGGAGCTCCGACTGCCTGCCGCTAGGGGGTGCTGAGGGCCCTCAGCACCCCCCTTCCTGCGCCCCTGACTATGACTATCAGCAGATTTCAAAGACGTATGGGTATTCGTTTCAGATACTCTGGAGGCACAAATTCTCTGCAAGGGCTTAAGGTATGCACATTATACTTGTTCTTTCTCTCACCACAAAAATGACTGGTGAATTAGTTTTCATTGTAATATGATGGTCATCCTGTGATATACGAAAGTGTGAGCCAGCCAATACAAGGACTTAAAAAACTGTATGTATCTCCGAGGTAAAAAATGATATAGTGTGTGTGTGTGTGTGTGTGTGTGTGTGTGTGTGTGTGTGTGTGTGTGTGTGTGTGTGTGTGTGTGTGTGTGTGTGTGTGTGTGTGTGTGTGTGTGTGTGTGTGTGTGTGTGTTACATACGTCAGGAAGTTCTCCCATGTTTCCAGATAAGGGTCATAGTATATGGTTCCCTCGGCCCCCCCTAGTGGTGAAGAGGTGCTTTTCTGGAGAGTGGAGCCATAGCGGGCCCTGTTTATTGGAGCAGCCCCCCCCTCGGAACTCCGCCCCGCAGAGGCTAGCTGACCCAGGCTGGGGCTGATCGTGGAGGTCTGGATCTGTTTCATCTTCTCTGTCCACTGAACTTGACTTGACCCACGTCGATTATACCGTCCGTAAACCCCATAACCTGAGTCTGGAAGGGGGTGGGAGGAGTTTCGTCTCAGGCAGCGAGGGGGGCGGAGCAAGGGGCGGGGCTTAATGTTCTCCATAATGTCTGCCTGGGTTAAGTACCAATGTGTAGTCCTCAAGCTCATATCCCGTTCCTCACTCCCTTCCTCTCCATCAGACTCCGAACAGGAAGAGGTGTCCTCCTCTTCATCTTCCTTCACTTCTCTACCCATCTGGACTACACTTGCAAGTAACAAAGAGGAACCGAATAAATGAGATTCAATAGATTTGATTCTAGAAGGACGTCGATATCGCAGTGCCATCCCACGCTGAATGCCACCACGAGCATGGTGAGGTTTGTACTGAAACCCCCGCCTTCCTCTCGTGATGACTCCATCAGCTCTCTCAGTTCCTCTTCCAGATCCTCCCTCTGCTTCACTTGTTAAACCTACCTCTATGATGGAGTGGCGCCTTTGTCCAGTAGCCACCAATGAGCCCACAATGGGGCGCCGGCGCTGCTCAGCACACACCGGAGGTAAGCCCACCGAGGAGCGCCTGGACTGAACCAACGCCGCGGAAGGCAGACCCGCACTAGAGCGCCTCCTGGCTTTGCTGGTCTGAAGAGCAGCACCGTGCTTCGGTTTCTTCTGACGGCCACGGAAGAAGAAATCCATCATGTCTGCAGATATGGATGGTGCTAAAAATGATATGTGGTATCTAAGAATCTTTACTCAATTAAAGGACATGGCATCGCCTTTCCCCTTCCGTCTTCTGATGATGCTTTGAGATCCGTACAACAGAAGATGGTCTCCATAATAATTGATGATAGTCCAGATCTTTTGTTCCAATCCTCCTTTAGAAATGCTGAAGGGACAAACAGGCTTTTCTGTTTAAAAAAAATGTTCTCTAAATGGCATCGTCAATTGTTTCAATAATACAAATGATAAACTTGACTTAGATAGCCCTACAAAAGTTGGATTATCTACATTGTGACCATTCATGAACATATCTACAAACACTTAGCACATTTTAGTCGAACCTGAACTACTCACCCATCCTATGCTCAATTATACAGCAGATGTTCAATGAGTAGAACAAGTAGGTATGTACACAAATTGTCACAAATGATCATCTCTCTATAGACCACTTGTAGGACTGTCCAAATAAAGTGTTTCCTTTATAAAATATACATTTGCATCCTTAATTATTCCCATGCTTTAACCATCCTTTTCAATGAGATCAATGAATTCCTGATGCAGTGCTGCTTCCTCAAAGCTTCGTCAAAAGTTAGTTGGTGCCAAGATCCTAATATGTTGGTTTATCTGGTTCCTGTTGGTCATTTTTTTTACTTCCTGTCTTTGCGTGTTTTCAAAGAATGAAATCTTTATTCATTCAAAAAATGAAGAAGCGTTTGGAATTGACAATAACCTATTCATGTAATGTGAGCTCTCCTAGTTATTAACTTACAAAGAATGTTCACCAGGAGTGTAACTTTAGCCTTCTTTATCTCATGCCTCAGGTGTTAAGGCTCATTTGCAAACACAGGGAGATCCTCTTGTTTCTCCTCGCCTTAGACCATGGCGTTCTTGCTGACACACTACAGCACATGTACAATTTAGTTACCACATTTACAAAGAAAAAGAAAGCCAGAAGATGTGGGATGCCATGTGGGATTCACCACGGCCACATCTCTCCAAAACAGCTTTAGTAAACTCAACTACAAATACAAAAAAGAGCTTAATAAGGTATAATATATATAGGGAGGGATGAAACCCTCTAATGGTCACACATGCAGAGCACACAGCACACACAGTGACATCTGTTCTCTGCTTTTAACCCATCCTAGCACCAGGAGTCTAGTACTAGGAGCAGTGGGCAGCTATTGCACAGCGCCCGGGGAGCACTGGGAGTGGGGGGGGAAAGGGGGGTGTCCGGTGCCTTGCTCAAGGGCACCACGGCAGGGCAGGAGGTGAACTGGGACCTCTCCAAGAAGCAGTCCACACTCCATTTTTAGGTCTGGTCGGGGACTTGAACCGGCAACCCTGCGGTTCACAGTCCAAGCCCCTACTGACTGAGCCACAAACAGAAGCAAGGCAACATGTGTGGCCAGTGACGGGATTTTTTCATCATCAATGTTGATTTTGTGTAATACCAGACATTTCTCCACTTTCAGAAGAGTTAAAGAGACAAGATGAGCAGGAAAAACGATTCTAAAACCTATATAACTAAAACTAGCAAGAATGTTGGTCAGACAGCAGCTTGTCCTGCTTTTTGTCTCCTGCACTTATCACACAACACACTCACACACACTGTGTTGTGTTATCAAAATCACTCTTCATGTCCATGTGCCAATTGGCGCACTTTTTTCCATCCAAAACACAACATTCATTCATTCTCTCACATGGCAAATACTTTTGAAATACTATTGTTTTGAAATAGAGGAACGGCAGACTTTGTGGCCCAGGGGACACACTGCTAAAGCGTGGTCTGAGTGACAGTCCCCCAATGCACCCTCAATGCATTCACCTGTAAACAGAGCTGCCCACTTGTGATCAGATTACATGGGAGCATAATAACACAGGGTCTGATCAGGGCTCAATCAGAGTCACACTCTGATTCTCCTAGGCTTGATAGGATTTGTATTTATTATTTAATAGCGTTCAAAAGCCTGTCGCTCTGAGACCTGAGGTATATCTGTTTTTGCTGTCAAAAGCAGAAGTGTGATATGAAGGAATTGTCTGACGAAACCATGACAACCAATCTGAACTGTGGCTCCACATAATCAAGCCTCATGGGAATCTAAAATGACATGTCTGGAAAAGTAAATAAAGTAAATGTGTGTTGCGCCTTCAGTTGCCTGCTACACACTGCTTTAACTGACATGAAGAGTTTGCTAACCGAGAGAGAGACAGATATCATATCAGATGGTTGCACAACCAACCATCTGCAGCAATGTGTTAGCACAATGTTTCATAAGGACAGGATAAGAAATGTCACTGTGCAAAATGGACACTTGGCCGATTTGTCTTGTTGAGTGACTAAGGTACTGTGAACAGATCTACATCATTAGACTTTAAGACTTTCCATGACAAAACCTTACCTAGGCATTAGAACCTCCATAAGGCCCCATTCATTGCATAAACATGGTGGAAATAAACTGTTAGTGTGTGTTTGACCAGGATGACTCGTAAAAAGTACAAATGTTGTAATCATTAACTTTTTCACTTTGTTGCTCCGTCTGGTTTCACCTCTCAGCAAGGGAACAAACAGTTGTTGTGTTTGCTGATGTTTACAGAGTCCATTTTTTGAAAGCTATGACCTTTTACGAAGGCTAAAAGAGCTTGGTGGTTAAAGAAGAGGGAAATGAATAGAAGATTTGTTCAGTTGTTTTTGTTTACAAATGATCATACAGGAAACATGAAGGGATGAGTCAGGGCCTCAGACCACCAACTGTCAGCTCGACAGATGAGCCTGTAGGTAAGAGAACCAGACAAGAAACATGACATGTGATCAGTGTTGTCACCGACTCCCACAGAATGGAATATCATGTAACACAAGACATCAGATGTGCAGGATAAAAGAGTGAGCTGCTTAGATCTCTGCTCTGAAACTATCACTCTAACAGGAAATCTGCACGCTTCACTTAATCCCCCCCTACCACTGACATTAAACAATCCCCGTCTCATAATGCCCCGTCACAAAGGTCAGGGGTCATCACAGTGGTAAATGGCTTTCATAAAGCTACACACGACAGCTATAGTTTGAGGTCATATGCAATTATTTTTCAAATAATTATTTATTTATTACGCTGAGGATTTAAAGAGCCTGTGACAGCATCCCAACAACTGTTGTGCAATGAAATATTGGGCTACTAGTCATCTCGAACCGTCAGTTTACAAAAGAAGGTGCGATACCGTTCAGATAAATATCAATAATTTAGAACATCGCGGGGAAATTCCTTCGACTCATTTTGAAGTTTTGGGGGAAGCCGGAAGTGACGTCAATGCGGGAACGCTTCACTGTGCGGCGAGAGAGCCAAACACGGACAAAGTGTGTTGTCATGCGTATAAATGGTGAATTACTGAGTTTAGGCACGTTAATAACGTTTTAATGAAGTTGACTACAGTATATTCATATTTGTCAGTGCTTTCATGTCAATTTGGCGAACATAAACAGAAATGATCGTGGTGAAGATGATTAAATTAGGATTATAATCGGAGCTGCTGAATTTCCTCCCGTGGGATGTGATATAAAAACAAATCGATTATTTTTGTAGTTGTAAACTCAAGTGGATTAAACTACATTTATTAGTGCTTTCATGTCAATTCGGCGAACATATGATACATTAAATGATCGTGAGAATGATGATTTAAAAATTGTTTGTTTGAGCCGGTCTGCATTTCCTGATGAGAAAACAAACCGATGCTTTTTATAGTTGTACACCAACATGGATTAAACCTGTGGTTTTTTACCACAATGTTGGGGAAATTAATGGATAAAATGCACGGATTATTATTATTATTATTCCCACTCCGATCGGGACACTAGGTCCACCGTTTCCCCTCAGCGAGGCTCCCCCGTTGACAGTTTACCTGGGCTGGGTGCAGTGGTGGACTGGCCATTGGGACGAATCCCGATGGGCCGGTACCGAAGTGGGCCGGTCGGATAAGTCACTAGCACATCGCCCACTCCCCCCGTTGACAATTTACTAGCGGTACCGAAGTGGGCCGGTCGAGAGTCCCGGGATGATTTTTAGTCCCAGTCCACCACTGGCTACATGACCGTATTATCGCCCATATTGACGCACCTAATTCCTAAACTTCTAACAGATACAACATAAACCGATCCTTCAGCCTCATGAGCTCTCAGACACGTTCAAAATTAAACTGTCATCGCTGTCTGAGCTTGCTGCTGTGTGCGCCATCGGGCGTTTACATCCTGAACGGTGCAGCTGGAGCGCTGTGCCCGCAATGACGTCACACATCATTTGGCGGGACTTGAAGAATCCCCGAGAAGATCCAGAAAATGGTCAACATTGAAGGGCAGATTAATGGTTATCAAAGTACAAATATCCAAAATCAGTTCAGTAACGGTTTTCAAGGGGACAATATTTACTCAAATTGATGGGTTTGGATGATGGGGGAAACTCGTGTCACAGGCTCTTTAAGGGCGGTCCACCTCTGGATTGTGGCACCACTACACTTTGTTTTCCTGTTCAACATACAAGCCACAAACACAGACATGGAGGGATCTAATCAAGCAAGTGTACCCCATTGAAAGGATAACATGTTCTTAGAAACAAAAACACAAATAGATGGAGAAAATGTATTGTTTTGTCCGACTTATGATGAAATATGAACTGTATGAGCCATTTAGTGCTGTGGATACAAGGTAGGGCTGCTCGATTATGGCAAAAATCATAATCTCGATTATTTCAGTCAATAATTGATATCAAGATTATTAAAAACGATTATCCATTTACTTACAAAAAAATGTGAACAGTATGTTTTTAACAGTTAATTACCCTGAACTTTAAGTATAATTCAACTGAAAAAACTATAATAAAATGTTTTTAAAAAAAATGTTAATCGTTTTATTTCGATTATGTTGTTTTCATAATCGTTGCAGGCCAAAATCGTAATTGCGATTAAAATACGATTAATTGAGCAGCCCTACAAGTACTAAAATTGGCACAAAATACTCCATGCACGTTACTCTTTTGCAAAAGCACGTTCGCCTCTCAAAAATCCAAGATGGCGATCTAGTTTTCATGGAGATCAGAAATATATTTTTGTCAAAGATAATAACGTAATATAAAGCTAGCAGCATCACTTCCTGTGGCAGCTGTTCTTTAAATGACTGGTGGCCAGTGTAAATACCTAAGAACAGGAGTAATGTGAATTTTGTTGTGTGGACATGAGACCTCTAATTATTTTTTGTTTAAGATTATTAAATGTTGCAGAAGTTCACATTTTTTAAACAACGAGATATAGAACTTGGCCCAACGTCTTTCCCCGAAATCGACCTGAGCAATAATGTACCTTCTTTCTTTCTTGTTGCCCTAAATAATCATTTGTATTCCATCTTTATTAATTGAAGGACACTTATCCAGCTATTCACTTGCTCTTAGCATTGTTCGAGTGCTGTCTTTGTAGATTTAATAAACAATGTTGACGCCATGTATGATTTTACCTAAAGGGAGCATGTACAGAATAGTGGGCCAAGAATTGAGCCCTGGGGGACGCCACATGTCATAGCAGTTTTATGCTTAGATTGATGATCACCAATGGCAACAACATAACCTTGGCCTTTGCACTTTGCCAAATAACCCCAGCCACTTTTACAGCATGTATGATCCACAGAATCAAAGGCTGCACCCAAAGTAATGTTTTACCTGAATCAGTATTCATTCCAACATAATTTAACACTGAACACCATTATAGATGGGATCTGAAGACACTGAAATCTGTCCAAAAGAATATTAAAATGTACATTTAAAAAGTTGTTCTGTTTAATCAAAACATTTTAATTAATATTTTCCAACAAATGGAAGATTTGAGATGGGTCTGGGTTGTTTTTCTTTAGAAGGGGCAACAACTGCACCTTTCTGCAGAATGAATGTTCAGCGGAGACATATTAAACCTGCTTATCTCTGATATTTTATATCCATTCATTCTAAACTATATTGGGCCTAGTGTTTACCCCACTGTTATGTAACTGCTGCCTTCTTCCATGATAATCCCCTACCATATCGGGGCAAAGTGATAAAGGGATGAGACGAGAGCATTACCCAATAGTGTGTATTCTCATGTTGTTAACACAGCATAGCGCTCTATGTTTGGCTGAATAAATACATCAAACACAACAAAGATATTAATATCTGCATATGGAGGCAGGAGAACATCTTCTTGTCTCTTGTTTCTAGTCGTATAGACTTCCACAGGAGGGAGCAGACTCCTTTCAAAGGTCTTCTAAAACCTTAACACTTATCATCAGGAGTCCTCAAACGTTTAACAATATTCCCACTCATTAACTATCCTACACATTCTTATTCACTGTAAGGCTCCGCTTTATTTACCAATCCCAAGACCTTGCCTTAGCTTGGTTGGGTTTTATGACCTTCATGGTCATCGTTACACAAATAAACACATGGTGAGGTCATGGAACAATCCAGGTAATGCTATTGACCTTTCCTAGACTTCCAGAAACAACCCCAACAAATATGAAGAACCATCTGTTATGCCCAACTTATATAAAGCTATCCTGAAGGTGCCATTACTCCAAATGGACCAAACGTGTCAGACCCTTCAGTCAATTGACCAACCAACATCACACAGATGATGAATCCACACACACACACACACACACACACACACACCCACACACACACACTGCTAAAGAAAACATCCCAACACACAGAAGTTGAAAAACTGGTTCATAGGAAGAAAAGGCTCAAAAGCTCTGCTGAATGAGCAACTGGGGGGGGGGGGGTTGTATGTGTGTGTTCGGGGGGGGGAGACTACCCAGAGCTACGTGCTGCTGGGTTAAATATTTACATGAAAAATAGTGCTAGAGAGACACATGGAGCAATGTGGTTTTCCTCAACTGTGAGAGAGCTCACCGTAGCAATGCAGGGAGAGCTAGCTCTTCTCTCTGAGCAGAAGAATCCATAGGGTGAGCTTTGTCTCTGGGGGGGGAAGATTCCCTTGATTACGAGTGGAGGAACCTGCTGAGACCCCCCATCCCGATTACTGCCATGTTCTCACGTAAACAAACATACAGAGAGAACAAGGTCAGCAGCCAAGCCTCGCCCCCCCCCCCCCCCTGGGTGTCATGTTACGGATGAATAGAACCTGGGTAGATGAATAGAAACGCGGGGAGCAGTTCTGTGAGTCATCAGCCAAGTCAACACTCATCAGGAAACCATGAAGGGTTTATTCCTATGTGTGTGGCATGCATAGAAACACACTCTGCTATCCGTAAGAAAACATCATTTAATGGAAAGGTGAAAAGAGATGTTGTTTCTTCACTAGCTACAAGTACAGCTGACAGAAACAAAAACAAGTCACTGGATAAAGCTGTTGTTACTATAAAAGGATTGGTATAAAGGGGGGTGCTCTCTCATAAATATATGATCTATTACTGATGGTCTGAAGTTTGTTTATATCTCAATGAAATGAAAACTCAATGACAAACGTTTCTTTTATCTGATGACAAAAAGCGCTCCGTCATGTCTTTTGTTAAATCATGTACGGCTATTAAAGCATAATTCATATATCTATACTTCCATCATGTTTGTACAGGAAACATGGTGGTCTTGTTAAATACTGAAGATGTCTACAGTGGAGTGAAGATCATGACAGGACACGTCAGATTTCTCACCAACACTGTGAGGCTCTCCTGCAGCAGTCTGATGCTCTGTGTTCACCATCCTAACCACAGCAAGGAACTAAACACCTCCGGGAATATGAAAGCCATCCAGCTGTTCTGTTTCCTCTATAACATATGTGGCACAGTGTGCAGTCTGTCAACAGTGTGACCACTAAATGTAAGTGTGGACCGAAGAAATGATGATGATGATAATCAAAAACATGGAAGAAAAAATAATTAAAAGCTAATAAAATACAAATAATATTAATAAAGCCTTCAGATGGAAGCCCTGTTTTTACTAATTTCACAGTACTACAATTTATTCCTTAATGGTGTAAAAAGAAATCTCCTGGACGCTTCCACAGAAAGTGAACTATACTATAATCACTATAATTTAAAAATATGCTTATTGGATTCCGAGAGTACAAAAAGATGGAGTTTGCATGACTGGGATGAATAATGAAAGCCATCTTGAATATAGACCTTTCCAGAAGTCAGGCTTTGATGTTATTAAATACACCTGATACTACAATAAACCATTGAGATACCTATTGTTGCAATTTTGTGGAGCTGGCTATACTTTCTTCCATTGGTGGAGGTACGGTGCAGTGTGCAGTGTATGAATGTAGCTCAGAGACGGACAGCAGGCTGCAGTTCACTCCACTCCCTCCTGTTGTCAGCCGTGAGGAACCTGTTGGGATCTGCCTCCACAGGCCCTCCTCTTACACTGTTCTAAAGAAGGAACCAAGTGACAACATCAACTGCACCTTACATGACATGTGTGCAGTGTAAACAGCAGCCTCTGATCACCATCGTCTCTCCTTCAGCCTACATGCTGACATGTGTAAGGTCTCAACAGCAGCCCTCATGTCAGCATAATAACCAGAATGACTCAAACACGCATCTCTACAAACACACACGCACGTAGGTCATCTTAATGATAAGCCATGCACCTCTGTTTATATCACTAACACAGCCAGTAAGATGACGTGTAAGCAACACTTACAAAACACAAAGTAGGTGTACCATGAGAAAATTCTATATATTTAAGCTCCTCATTCACTCAATGTTTAACTTGCTATTCAGCTTCCGGCTCTGATATCAATCATTCATTGACTTAGTGGTTCCACTCTTACTGACCACAATCCAGAAATAAAACAGTTAAACAATATAACTTACAACTGCTTCTGTTATAAACCTGTCTAAGGCTCAAACAAACAAGACTATAAGAAATCCATTACTCCATTATCCAATACAACTATTATTAATTTCATCTTAATGCATCCAGTACATAGACAGGGATGTGTGTATGGATGTACATAGGGTGTGTATGGTGTGTGTGAATACACAGTTGAACCTTTGTAGGGGTGAGTCTATTGGAGTGGGACTTAAAGATAAGAGATGATATACAGGTCTAAAATGATGGATGAACAAGAAGGGATGTCTTTGCCTCTTGGGGGGGGCATGAAAACCATCTAAAAACAGAACACTATCGGAATGACTCAGCTGTACAGTGGTCCCGCAGTGACACTTTTTGTCTTACATACAGTTTCCTGCTTACACGTCCTGCGAAGTAACATTGGTTAGCTTTGCAAAGGTTTTCCCTCAGCTGGCAGAACTGCTAACTGCTCCAACACTTTGGAAACAACTACGAGAATGACAAGAGGGAACCAGAACAGAACAGTAAGAACGCAGAGACCCAAACAGGAGCTAAAGAAGCGGAGGTGCTAACACATCACACCATAGTTAGTTAACTATGTTTTATCAAAGTATTCATTAACGCCTTTTTGATGAATGTAAATATTTGGAGTGTTAACACACCACTGATCTCCCAGTGTGTCAGATGCACAAGGATGTATTGTGTGTTTCAGTGTTCTTTGATAACTTTACATGATGTTCTGTTTTTTTAAAGATATTATTGTAACTGCTCTATATTATTATGATTACACTGAAAAAAACACTAACCACTATTCTACCAAACCTGAAGTTGTGGGACACACTGAGGTGGCACGACCTTGTCTTTGACTCATATTTGAACCCCCCCCCCCTTTTGTCTGACTGAAAACTAAGAAGAGCACAGCACTGCACCAGCCGCTCACTATCACTGAGCATTACTCAGGTCACTTTCACAGAGTTTAAACTGTTGAATCTAGATGGTATACACACAAACACAAAAGTTCTTCCAGCCTTGCTAGATGCAATATTTTAGGAACTTCATCTTATGCAATATTGTTTATCCTAATGAATATTTGAAATGAGAAAGCAGACCTGATTAAGGCGGAGAAACGTATCCATCCGAGCTCTCGTGTATCTATGTGGCGCGCTCACACTGCACTGAGCTGAGCTCTGACAGCAGATGTGGAGCAGAGAGGGGGAGAGGGCGAGAGACACAGCAGGAGCGTGGGAGGAAGAGAGAGAGGGAGTGGGTGTGGCCCAGAGAGAAAGAGAGGACTAAAATAACTTTGTGTACTTCCTGAACGAGTCGGTGAAAAGTTGTAACAAATGTTCACACACACACACTGAGGGGAAGCGGAAGCAGCTCGGAGACGAGGTACATTCTCTCTCTGCACAGTGTTAAGTGAACACACACTCTGCAGGTGTGAGGAACACACACACAAGCACACACAAGCACACATCCAGAGTGGAAAAAATCGACATAAACATGTGCCAAGTAAATTCCTGAGAGCACACGCACCAATGCAGAATTCTAGGGATTTTTTTTTTAAAGAAACGAGTGACATTTGTGTTACAAACATGACTGTGAACTAGTTTAAAGCCACATGGCTAAAGTGAGTCAGAGGACTTGCAGTTGGATATTTTACTCAAATGAGTCCTATGATAAAAATGTATCAGGATAAATACATAAAAATGTAAGCACCCTCCACACACTCCGGCACACACCCTTTAAAACTGGACCCGATAAACCGCAGTGTTTATAGGCTGCCAAGCTCAGGACACGACTGTCATCTTTGTTACTGTTGGCATGACAACTGCGGCCCCTGTTGCCGTGGGAATCATGTCCCCCTCTCCACATGATGACTAGTGACCCACTGGCAAGGTTATATACACACTCACTCCGTATCACCCAATATCACACATTAGAGTCCTGCCCTGACTGACACTGTGGAAACAATCGTGTCTTTATAAATAAAGTTGAATGAAACAATGCACAGGCTGTTGATGCAGGGGTGTGTGTGTGTGTGTGTGTGTGTGTGTGTGTGTGTGTGTGTGTGTGTGTGTGTGTGTGTGTGTGTGTGTGTGTGTGTGTGTGTGTGTGTGTGTGTGTGTGTGTGTGTGTGGCAGCAGCAGGGTCTGGAAAGATCAAGTCAGGGCAGAGTCCAAGCCAATGGCTCCATCTGCTGGTCAGTAGCAACTGTTACACCCACATTCTCTCTTGCAGTCTTACCTCCTGGTGAAGATCTTGAGTCCAGTGAAGGACTTGGAGCAGCCTGTCAGCATCTCCTGCTCTTCCTCCACACAGATCGGGGGGGGCGAGGTGAAGAAGGAGGGCAGGGTCGAGGAGGAGGAGGGCAGAGAGGAATTAGACGAAGATGATGCAGAGCTGAATTCTCCATCGCCTCCTTTCAAGTTTATTGAGCCTTCTCCTTCTGTGTCTTCACTTTTAGGATCAGGGGCTCCACAGCCCTCAGGTCCTGGTCCCAGGTCAGCCCCCAGGTCAGACTCCATGACAGACATGTTCACTTCCTGTGGTCACTTATCATTTCAACAGAACAAGCTCCTGTTTCTGGGTAGGTCTTGCAAAATGTCAAGTTGTATTTCTGAATATCCCCTGTGTATTCCAAGCAATCCCAAAGCAGTGTTTCTTCAAGTGTTCCAAATATTCCCAAAGGAATTCTTGGAGTTCAATGGAAAGCCATGTATAGGAGCAAACAAATCATCTGACTGCAGGTTCTGAAGGCTCTCTATTAAACCACCGAGCTGCAAATGGAATCTTCACGTCATGAAGTGGTCATAGTAGGAACTATTCCTTACAATCACGAGACAAAGAGGACATTTAAAGAAGTCCTCTGGAGCTGGGATGTTTCCAGAGCCAAGGGACTACACACACTGTTACTATGTGTTCTTCTCTGATCAAAGCATAACGGTCTACACGTTTGAAAAATACTGTACATGAAGAATTACTTCTAAAACAATTAGTATTATTAAGGTTTTAACTCAAACTACCATTCAGAAATGTATTAGGCAAAAGACCTTAACTGCTCCAAGACTTCAAAAATGGCCACCCTGCAGAGGCTACAAAGTCAATAATCCACATGCCAAAGGTCTTTGCACAAGACACACAAGGTGTGCGTGTGCGTGTGCGTGCGTGTGTGCAGAGATTAGTGCTGAGTCCTGAGGGAGAGATAATCCACAGCATTCCACTCCATGTCTCCTCTGTCAGCAGCAGTAGTCAGCAGTGTAGTCCAGAGTTGTCACTCTGTTCCCTCTTCTTTGTTTCTTCTTCAGCTTCTCACTCCTCTGCCTCCTCCACCCTCTCTTCTTCTTGTCTTCTTTTAACTAACTTAACACTATTTCATTTCCTCCTCCTCCCCCTCTTCTTCTTTGGTTTCTCGCTGAGTTTAATTACACTCCATGTGAGGCACACACTGACACACACACACACAGTTGAGCTGCACGCTGCAACACACACTTTCATAAACACAAGCTGATCCTCTACTACCCGTCCGGCTAAAACCAGGAAGTGGATAATGACTGAAATCAGGTCCTGCCTGTTAGCTGCCCTGTCACATGCCTGACTGAAAGTCTCTCTCTCTGACTGCTGCCAGGTTCCCTGCTCTGTCGCATTATGCTCTGAATGTGGAAACGACTGTGTATGAATACTAGGTTATAGATGTATACATTAAATAGATACAATTACAAGAAACCAAATGATAAAAAGTTCACCCACAACAGTGCTCTATTTGATCCCCCTAGAGGACTTCCTGTGCTCTGTTTCTACAGTTCTTCTACATTGTGTACAGGAAAGCCACAAGGCGTCATATTGTGACGGTAAATCTACAATGACTGAATGCACAATATGTGAGAAGTTGGGAAAAAAGGACCCTTTCTTTTCATTCTAATCACACATGGTGTTATCTAGCATTTTGATCAAAGCACACCACATGCCAACATTCACCCACTCACACACATTCATGCACTGAAGTCAGGCCGCAATACAAGGCTAATACACACTCACACACCTTAGCTCTACCTCCTGAGGCACACACTATGGCCCAATTCCAAACCACGCCCTACACACTCCCCCTCCGTGACGGAGTGAACTCCGTGGAGTGACACTCGCAGCTCAACGAGGCTCCCTCCAGTCAGATGGAGGGAGTAAATACAGCAGCAAGCTTTGGGACGGCCTCCCCTCTCCGGCAGAAACAGGAAATGCCGTAACTGTACGTAACAACGGTTTCAAATCAGCATCTCTTTGACAAAAAAATCAAATGAATAACTAAAATAAAACTCCAAACATCTTTAATTGTCTCTTTTAGTTTTAAACCTGATGTTTATAAGCTTCTTAGTTTTTGCAACAGTCTGTAAATATACACAACTTTATAATAAAATGCACAAATGTACCTTTTTCTAGACTAAACACAGGTAGGCCTACGATCCTAAGTTAAGAATATATGAGGTTATCATGAGGTTGTTAACATCGCAGTTTATCAGTGGATGTTTGCTGGAACTACTTGTACACAGCGTGTTTCCTGACGGACACACACAGCGTTGAGAGCGGTCAGGTAGGGCAGCAGGTGAAGTCAGCGCCGATGCAGACTCGCTGTTTGAGGCCTTGATAACCCACTCCTCCTCCACACTCGTTGGTTTGGAACAGCACTTAATGTGCCGGACCCTCCGCGCGAATGAGCAAACGGAGGGGTAGTGTGTAGGGGTAGGGTGTAGGGGGTGGATTGGAATTGGGCCTAAATTCCAGCAACAGGAACACACACTTCCACCTGGACAGGAGGCTGGAGCCAAAGTTGCGTACAGTTAGCGCAGAACAGAATAATGTCATTTAGAAGTGTGCGTAGGTAGAGGGAGAGTGAAGTACAGTGTTTCTGTGTGTGTGATTAATAAAGGAACATCTCACCCAGTGGAAAACTCTGACTCATTTGTGATTTTACAACAATGAAGATGTAAGGAACAGAGGTGGAAGATATCAGGCTTTGATACACACACATAGATTTTTGCCCACATAGTATTAAAGTAATGATGGCGTGATTCAATGTGAGGCGAATAACAAAGTTTAATTCATATTTGATCAACTAAAAGTGGGGGGAAATTACATTTTGGCAAAAGCATCACCAAGCTGCTCACTGACTGTTTAACACACTCAAACAAACACGCTATCACTTGCACACACTTCATATTTCTCCACATGAGGGTGCTGATGTCCACACAATGAGCATTCAGTTCCTCTGAGTCCACTGACAGGGTTTCCTTTGTATTGATCTGGAGAGGTTTATTTATAGTCATGCGTTTCATTCTCTCATTAGGTGAGTTCGAGCAAAGCTTCACCATGTTGAAACGAATACAGAAAAACACTGTTAAGCCTTACATTCTGAGTTCACTTTGCAAAGCTGGACCACTGAGACTTTATATAAAGTATATGACTGTTTTGTTCAATTGCTTACACACATTTTTGAAAACAATTCACAAAACCCAAAGTGTAAACCACCTCACATACCCTGCAAAATGAAGCACTGCACTCAACACTTTTGCACTAAATGGCACACACTTCAATCCTAATACAAGACACTTTAACAAACCATCACACTTTTTTCTGCTTTGCCACCGACACACAGCATCCTATAACCTCCAGAGGGCGCTGTCACGTCAATATAAACAGATAATGTCAATTGTCTAGGGAGGACAGTCTCTGGTTGCTTCCAAACGTCAATCTTTCTTAGGTTCCTAACGGAGTGAAAGGACCCAGAATGAGTGAGTTTCAGCCATGATAAGAGCTACAGGAAAGGAGCTTCAATACCTTCTTTATAAACTCCATCTGGACCAACCTTTAGGGCAGGGGTTCCCAACCTTTTTTCCTAAGAGCCCCCCCAAATGACTCCTGTTGGAAATTGCGCCCCCCCCACACACACACACACACACAAGGGGGGCCGGGCGCAACAGCGGTAATTCAAGTTTCAAAGTCTCAGAAATGCTACAACGACTGTCACAAACTGGATGAATGTGAAGTATTTAGTTAAAGGAGGATGAAAGCGTAATTAAGGAGCACTATTGGAGTGATGGTTATTGGATTCCCGCTGAATGAAGAAATGAAAGGACGGCGCAAGTGGAAACAATTCACAAAGGGATTAAACTGTTTAAAACACATGCTCAAAGTAAACCGGATTTTGACGATGTGTTTATGTGGATTAAAAAGGCGTAAATAA